AAAATCAACAAGCAAACAGATGGTATAGTGGAAAAATTATCAGGGCAAGTAATTTTACATATGCCACTGTACCGGAGTACACTAGCAATTTTAAAGTTATTTCCACCCCTGACCATGTGGTAACACTACTTCACATTTAGCCAGGAGCCATTATAAGATCAACAATACTACAAGTGCGAGCCTAGCTTGTGTGAGGGAATTAATATTGCTTTACTCCACATCAGCAATATTGCAACTATTAGCGACTAGAAAAACACATTATTTTCCTGTGCAAGCCAAGCCTGAGTACTATTTACCACAAGCCAAAGACATAATGCGTTATCTTTGTCATTTGTACTAATTTGCAATGGTTGAAGTGCTTACCGTGTTTGTCATGTTCAGGAATTACTGTCAGAATGTGAAATGGCATAATAAGTGACAGTGGATGGAAAATGTGTTGTGAATATTACAATAACACATCTCTTGTAAAGAGTATTACTGTAACAGAATCTTTCAAGTGAATATTGAAATAACAGAGCTTTTAGTGAATATTATAACAGAACTCTCATTTAGAATATTAGTATAACAGAAGGGGCGGTGGGGTAGGCTAATGGTTAAAGCGTTGGCTCGTCACGCCGAAGACCCGGGTTCGAATCCCCACATGGGCACAATGTGTGAAGCCCATTTCTGGTGTCCCCCGCCGAGATGTTGCTGGAATATTGCTAAAAGCGGCGTAAAACCAAACTCAGTCAGTCAGTAGTATAACAGAATCATTGAAGTGAATGTTCAAATAACAGAGCTCTTTAGTGAATATTACAACAGAACTCTTATTGACAATATTACTGTAAAAAATAACTATATAAACATGTTCTAGTTTCAAATATAAGGAAGGATTGTGTATCTGCTAGTAAATTAGCATCGATTTTTAACATTTTCAGAGGCGCTTGCCTTATATGTATGATCCATTCTGAGATCTTGGTACACTGTAGTTTTCTATTGACAATGCTCAATTTTGCTTGTGTGACTAACATAGTATTGCAGTAAACAAAACCTGTGAACTCATCACCAGCATTGTATGCCTTGTCTATTTTAGTGTAAGCTATAAATGATACACGCTAGTGATTCATCATGTCAATGACAATTTTTCCATTGTAGTCGGTATCCATTTGCGATCCAGACTACAGACATTTGTTGAAGTTGCAGTGGCTGAGTGGGTTAGATTGCTGACTTTGTGTGCTGCGATTAGGTGCCTGAGAGTGTGGTTTCAAATCAGTGATGTGACCCAAGACCACACTTTTTATTACTAGGTTTACGGATCCACGGACTGTAAGTTTTGCTAAAGTGGGAAAAAAAACGGTAATTCAATTTTCCCATTTTTTGAATACTGCTTATAAATAAAATCCAAATAAATAATTTAAAAGTCTACTTCAATGAAATTTACTTTCTGTTACAAATTTAGCATGGGTGCAAAACAAAATTTTAAATATTGAACCAAATAAAATCGCAGAATTAACAGGGTTTTTTTTAAACCTTATCGTAGTAGGAAATGGGAACACCTGAATGGCTGATGGCATATTCTTTTTCTTTTTAAACAGCCTACTTGTGGTGAAAGCCACTTAGGGGGAAAATATGATTTAAAAAAATAAATTATTTACCTCCTACCGACAGGAATATTGCTGTAAAAACATCCGTAAACCAAGTAATAAAGTAAGTGTGGCCTTACTGAGAAAGTTTATCCCAAATATAACACTTTTCTTTTGGTCACTTTCTAAATGGCATTGAGTGTGAACAGTATCCGTTCAATAAGTCCGACCTGGCGAGGTTACTTGAATAATTCTATACATGTTCATGACACATTGATTTTGATCTGTTTGATAATAAGACCGTATATTGAACGATAGGCTGTCAGTAAGCAGAGTTAATATACACCTCTCCTGATCAGGTATTTTTAGAAAAAGAATATTCTCACTGATGCAGTTAGCTTTGTGCCATTGTTGCTGTTCTGTTCCCTGGTGACTTCTGACAATGACTTGTTTGTCACGCCCAACTATCAGGTCTGTGTAAAACATGGGAATTGATGAGGTGCCAGATGATCCCTTATGTTCTGAGGGACTCATTTGGACAGGGTGTGATGGACATTATCGTTAATGTTTAGTCACAGATGAGTGATGTACTCTACATGTTTGCAGTACACTTGTTTGTAGTTTTAGTTTCTTTACATGATAGTGAAATCTGACACAAGGGTGGAAATAACCCATTGCCCGATGCCCAAGTCCAGTGTTTTTTTCTGTCGGGCAAGCAAATTAGTATATCACACTGTACCTATGTCCAGTTGATATTCCAATGCCAATTATGTTGTTTATTTGAAAAATCAACAAGAAAACGGCTGGTATAGTGGAAAAATTATCAGGGCAAGTGATTTTACATGTGCCACTGTACCGGAGTACACTAGCAATTTTAAAGTTATTTCCACCCCTGTGACATATGAAAATGTCCAGCATGTGAAATTTGTTTTATGCAGCATATCAATTCTGATTTGTTAAACATGACTATGATTACACACATCCAACTCTGGTAAACATCCCCTGACTTACTTGTTGTGGGTTGGTGGGGTAGCCAAGTGGTTAAAGCGTTCCCCCGTCTCGGGGTAGCCAAGTAACATCACTTCCTTGTTGTGGGCGGTGGGTAGCCAAGTAACACCCCTTACTTGTTGTGGGGTGGTGGGGTAGACCCCCTGACTGTTCAATTCCCCACATGAGTACAGTGTGAAGCCCATTTCTGGTGTCCCCCGCCGACTTGTCCCCCGCCGTGATATTGCTGGAATATTGCTAAAAGTGGCGTAAAACTAAACTCACTCACTCACTCACTAACCAGCTTGTGTACCTGTCTGGTATAATATTAAAAGTGCCTGAAAATTAACAAGATCTATTTTTCTTATGCATATTGGGTACTTTTCACAGTAAACATAGCAACATAGAAAGTGTATGTAGCCAATGCCACTGTGTTGTAGCTGTTATAGAAACATAATTAGGTTCATAAGTTTGTTTTGTTTTTGTCCAACATCTAAAGGCCCTTCAAGAACCCTTACACTGAAACAGTTTTAGTTCAGGGTACATTTGAATTAAATCTGTTCTCATCTGCTCAATCTCAGGCAACAAGTTTAACTCATGTGTGGTTTCATTAAACTCACCTCCCCCATCCATTTTGTCAATTCTTGAGCAATTGTAATTCTTTTTGAGACATTTTGTTTATAGATATTCATATTCAAAACATCAAGGCTAAGAGCATCACAAATGTTTGAGCTTTGATTTGGTTATGATAAAAGTATTGTCTAGCCAGTTAATTAACAAATGTTAAAATTGCTGACAATTTTAATTTTAATGGTCATGATGTTGTGATAAATTTAATTGGATTGCTGAACAAATTCTTGAAATTCTTGAGTGCTAAATAATTTCCCTTCATATTAGGATGAGTAGAAGCATTCAAATATTAAACAGTTGTTAAATTTGTATTTTGCCCTTTCAGTAGGGATGCCACGATACATCGATACTTTTTCTAAGATGATACAATTATGGATACATTCAAAACTGTATCGATATTTAGTTTTGCAAGTATCGATTTAAATATGTTTAAGTATCGATTACATTTTACAATTGTATCATGATTTTTTATGTTAAGAGAATTATAAATGATTATTATAAATGAATAACGAGAATTATAAATGACAAATCCGGCAGATTTGCTGTTGGTCCGATGGAAATCTACAACACATAGGCCCCAGTGTCCTACTGTATATTTCACAATGACTTTGACTGAAGTTTTTATATGTGACAAGTCACACTTGTTTGCTTTTATAAATTTTACGCTTGTTAATAATTTCAATGCCAATTACAAGGAATGTTAAATCTGAAATGTGTGTTAATTTTTCTTCTGTGGGTCCTGTGAATTTTCAGTTTCTAAAGTCCTGTTATTTTGAAACATCATTCGTGAACACTGGTTTTCATGCACAAAGATGGGAAAAAATGTTGTTCTTTTCATGGACAATTATAAAATATGACATATTAATGTTCAAAATGTAACTAAATTTACACAATAATGCCTCAAAAATAGGTATTGTGATACATATCGAATCGTGACATGGGTATCGTGATACATATCGATTCATGAAACTTATGTATCATGATATCCCTACCTTTCAGTATTGTATTTAATTATAAATTTCACTTTTATTCGACATTCCTAAACCTACAGATACAAGCACACTTTCCTACCCAGAGTTCGATGGGGCCAGCACATTGCCTCTGCCGCAAGTAGCCGCCATTTGACAATTAGTCACATCTCACACAGTCCAATCAAGATATTTCATGTGTTTTTTATCTCTTTCATTTTTTACGTGTCTATACATATAGATATGCATATGGGATAGAATTGTTTAATTTCATTAAGAAAATATCCTGAAATCGGAAAAACTATTTCCATTTGTGTGGTGTTCGTATGTTTACATTGGCTGTATGGTTCCCCATGCACTCATCGAAGCCCTTCAGACAGCTAGGCAATAGTTAATAATATTGCCATGCACATCACTGTGACAGTTGAAGTAGATTATTTGTATAGTTAAGAAAAACTAATATGTAATGCATTAAAAGGCTTGCATTATTCTGATCACAGAATAACGTGTTTGTTTACAAACACAAAAAATCTTGTCATATAAAATGCAAATTATCCCCTGGCAGTGATGTTATGCCAAGTGTGATTATATGCGTTTCTTTTATTTAGTACATTACTTGGTTAGTTTGGGTGGGACCCTGATAAAGACTTCATGTGAAGATAATTCTAAGTATTCTCTTACCTCTTCAAACAAGGCTTATTTTTTTGGAAATGAATGATTATTTTGATGTATTGTCTTTGTTTCAAGAACGACACTGCACAATGCTCTGTCGATAGTTTGAAGAATTGTACCACCTGTTCTTCAGTGTCTAGTGGTGCTGTGGTTGTTTAATGCCTCTGTCATCTATTTTCAGATCTGCTATTGATACTGAAACAAAGTCAAAAGTAGCCATCAAGAAAATATCACCGCTTTGAGCATCAGACATACTGCCAAAGAACGTTAAGAGAGATCAAGATCCTTACCAGATTCAAGCATGAAAATGTAAGTTGTTGTTATCTTAGCTGCACCTGTGTTGTAGCATGACCGTGTGATATTACCCATATGGGAAGGAGGACACTGGGTAGTAATGTTCCTGTAAGTCCCCAGGGAGGTTACACCGTTCGGTTTTAGAAAATAAAACAGCCAAGCAATGCGTAGGGATATGGGGATTCCCCACATTGTGGGTTTCCTTATAGAGAATGCTGGTTTCATTTTATCGTTTTTTAGATCGAAAACTGATATGGGTAATAAAACAGGGAATGACAGATTATCTTTCCCTCGTTACATTAATTACGTAATTAATATAACTTGACTATTGACAGATTGTCTTACCCTCGGTATATTAATTACGTAATTAATATAACGAGGGAAAGATAATCTGTCATTCCCCATCACTCGTTAGTGATTGTGTAAGTACTTATATACCTTGCAGGGATTGGGATAGAGAGCTTTGACAATGGGCCATTTTCAGGATTATTAGCCATTTTCTGAATTTAGAATGGGCCACTGCCCTTGTATCAATAGTAAACTTCAAAATGTTAATGGGCCATTTTTTATTCTAATGTGCAAAATGGCCCATGGCCCCTGCTTTTCCCAATCCTGCCTTGGAAAGAGCATCTGCCTGATGAGGGGAACCTCGGTGGATTGACCCAAAGCCATGTCATAACAAAATATCAATACTTGTTATTAGCTTATTACCATGCCTTATGTTGGGCATAAAAGTGGAAGAAAAATGACTGGTTGGCTGGAAGTCTGTCCTGTTAAAGGGGCATTTAGTAAGTGAGGGTGTGAGAGAGAGAGTGTGAGTGAGTGAGTATGATTCTATGCCACTTATAGCAATATTCCTGCAATACAGCAGTAGAATAATGGGCTTCACACATTGTACCCATGTAGGGAATAAAGCCCAGGTCATGGGTGTGAAGCGTGAACGCCTAACCACAAGGCCAACTCTCTGTCCCCATCGGTGTTAATGTCACTATATGAGTACAATAATCTTGCATATAGAATTTCATTTAACTTAAACTTTCACATATTATATGTGAGACTCCTTGAGATTCCCTGGAAGAATCTTTGTCACTTACTGCCAAAGCAAGCTGTAAGCTGTGCTGAACAGGATTGGATAGTCAAGCTTAGTGGCATGGCAGATTGCATGTCATGTTATTAGGGCTGGGACGGGTAACCCGGGTATACCCGGGATGGGTGGGTAATGAGTTGGACCCGGGTACCCGTCTCACTACCCAGACCCGTTATGATCATGTGTCTAATTCATTAAACAATGTAATATGTTATTATTTCATGAATAAGAGGCTGTATTGTCTTTGAAGTTTTAAACATAATTACAGTCACTTCTTTTGAATATAATACCATGGTTAAGGCATTGAAAAACTCGAAATTTTAGCCTCTGAGCTGAAGAATATATTGCCATTTCTTACAAATTTGATGTCAGGAATTAACATAACGGGTATCCGGGTAGGGTAGGGTGATAGGGGTTGGGGTACCCGGGTAGAAAATTTGGACCCGTCCCAGCCCTACATTTTATTACATCTGAGTGGATTCAGTTCATGCCGTCAAAGACTGGAGTGTATGGTCCAGTCTCAAACAGGCTGACACGATACAGATGAAGTATATTTTAGTGAGGTGTTACACAACAATCTATAAATCAATATTATGTCTTATATCTGTATTTTCTACGTTATTGTTGTCAAGTATCATAAAATGAAGTGTGATTGTGAATCTGTTCACTTCTTTTCTTTCAGATCATCAATATCAGCGATATTCTGCGAGCACCATCCATAGAAGAAATGAAAGATGTGTATCCTTTACAGGCTTAGCGAAATCAGAAAACATCAGCAGATACTGGTCTGGAGCTTGTACACTATATGATAGCGTGTTGTCTCTCAAATGATTTCCTGGTTTGATGAGATCCCCACCCATCTGTGCCTGTCCTATATGTTACTGAATGGATCAGGTGTCATAATCCCTGAACCAAATTAGTTCATATTACCCAGTCCCTGACTCATACGAGTTCATATTACCCAGTACCTGAACCACATGAGTTCATATTACCCAGTCCCTGAACCATATTAGTTCATATTACCCAGGGGGCGGTGGGTTAGCCTAGTGGTTAAAGCGTTGGCTCGTCATGACGAAGACCCGGGTTTGAATCCCCACATGGGTACATTGTGTGAAGCCCATTTCTGGTGTCCCCCGCCGTGATATTGCTGGAATATTGCTAAAAGCGGCGTAAAACCAAACTCAGTCAGTCAGTCATATTACCCAGTCCCTGAACCATATTAGGTCATATTACCCTGTCCCTGAACTTTACTAGTTCATATTACCCTGTCCCTGAACTTTATTATTAGTTCATATTACCCTGTCCCTGAAAGATATTAGTTCATATTATCCCGTCCCTAAACTTTATTAGTTTCCCCACCACCAAGCCCTTTCTATAATGCAGAATAAAACAATGAAGCAAGTCTACTCTCCTCAGCTATTGAAACACCCACCTCACTTGGGCTCCTTTTGAATTAAAGTTAATTTTATATTTTCCGAGACTAAGCGTTAATCTTGTGGTTCGACTCAATGGCCAGATTTAGTGAAGTTGTTATACCCTGATGGTGATCCTGATATTTGTCACGGGATTGTCTGGTTCCGATGTGAGTGTTTATGCGCTGCCAACATTTGGCATAAATATTGCTTCAGCTCAGTATATAGACTCTAAGTGTGGGGTTATACAACAAAGAATACTTATGTAAATCTGGCTTTGGACTTGAAGCACCAACTTCCTCCCACTCAAGTGGCTTGAGTGTTTGACAAGTTGAATACCTTGAATATCAATGCTCATGTTGTTAAAATGATCTTAATGTTTGTTGTTTAATGCCACACTCGGCAATATTTAAGCTACATGACCGCAGCCTATAAACAAGTCTTTGACAAGACAATCCAGTGATTGATATCATGAGCAGCAATCCGTGCTGTCAGGTCATGTTGAAACACGATCAAGCTTCTTGACAGCATGGATTGGTGCTCACAATATCAGTCACCAGATTGCTTGGCCTGTACCAAATTATTTACAGGCCAGCAGAGAGACTGCGGCTCAGAAATTGACAGTTTGATATAAACGTAAACATTGTGTTTGACAGATGACACTCAAAACTGCTGAGTCAGATCACTAAATCATCAGTTTGTTAAAAGTGTGTTTGTTGTATACATCAAATTTATATCATGATATATTGCTATTTGCCAGGACAAAAAAAATTGGTACTTTATGAGCGTGTTCATTATAAATGCTGAGGATGGAATTCAGCTGAATGGGGTGGCGAATAAAACACTTCCTCCTCAGGCCACCTGGATACGACTGTATTCTCCTCATTGTGTGACATCTTCCTCAACTGCCTCAGCTACATTGTACAGTGCCTGATGGAGACAGACATGTACAAACTGCTGAAGACCCAGCAGCTCAGCAACGATCATGTCTGCTACTTTCTCTACCAGATCCTTAGAGGCCTCAAATACATTCACTCTGCCAACGTGCTGCACCGGGGACCTCAAGCCCAGCAATCTCCTACTTAACACAACATGTGATCTCAAGGTAAGACTTCAATCCTCAGTAGCCTCACAGTTGCCTCACATTTAACACAATGTGTGATCTCAAGGTAAGACTTCAAGCCTCAGTAGCCTCACATTTAACACAACATGTGATCTCAAGGTAAGACTTCAAGCCTCAGTAGCCTCACAGTTGCCTCACATTTAACACAACATGTGATCTCAAGGTAAGACTTCAATCCTCAGTAGCCTCACAGTTGCCTCACATTTAGCCTCACATTTAACACAACATGTGATCTCAAGGTAAGACTTCAAGCCTCAGTAGCCTCACAGTTGCCTCACATTTAACACAACATGTGATCTCAAGGTAAGACTTCAAGCCTCAGTAGCCTCACAGTTGCCTCACATTTAACACAACATGTGACCTCAAGGTAAGACTTCAAGCCTCAGTAGCCTCACAGTTGCCTCACATTTAACACAATGTGTGATCTCAAGGTAAGACTTCAAGCCTCAGTAGCCTCACAGTTGCCTCACATTTAACACAACATGTGATCTCAAGGTAAGACTTCAAGCCTCAGTAGCCTCACAGTAGCCTCACATTTAACACAACATGTGATCTCAAGGTAAGACTTCAAGCCTCAGTAGCCTCACAGTTGCCTCACATTTAACACAATGTGTGATCTCAAGGTAAGACTTCAAGCCTCAGTAGCCTCACAGTAGCCTCACATTTAACACAATGTGTGATCTCAAGCCAGAGTAGCCTTACAGTAACTCACAGTAGCCTCACATTTAACACAATGTGTGATCTCAAGCCAGAGTAGCCTTACAGTAACTCACAGTAGCCTCACATTTAACACAATGTGTGATCTCAAGCCAGAGTAGCCTTACAGTAACTCACAGTTGCCTCACATTTAACACAATGTGTGATCTCAAGCCAGAGTAGCCTTACAGTAACTCACAGTTGCCTCACATTTAACACAATGTGTGATCTCAAGCCAGAGTAGCCTTACAGTAACTCACAGTTGCCTCACATTTAACACAATGTGTGATCTCAAGCCAGAGTAGCCTTACAGTAACTCACAGTTGCCTCACATTTAACACAATGTGTGATCTCAAGCCAGAGTAGCCTTACAGTAACTCACAGTAGCCTCACATTTAACACAATGTGTGATCTCAAGCCAGAGTAGCCTTACAGTAACTCACAGTAGCCTCACATTTAACACAATGTGTGATCTCAAGCCAGAGTAGCCTTACAGTAACTCACAGTTGCCTCCACATTTAACACAATTTAACACAATGTTTGATCTCAAGCCAAGAGTAGCCTTACAGTAACTCACAGTTGCCTCACATTTAACACAATGTGTGATCTCAAGCCAGAGTAGCCTTACAGTAACTCACAGTTGCCTCACATTTAACACAATGTGTGATCTCAAGCCAGAGTAGCCTTACAGTAACTCACAGTAGCCTCACATTTAACACAATGTTTGATCTCAAGCCAGAGTAGCCTTACAGTAACTCACAGTAGCCTCACATTTAACACAATGTGTGATCTCAAGCCAGAGTAGCCTTACAGTAACTCACAGTTGCCTCACATTTAACACAATGTGTGATCTCAAGCCAGAGTAGCCTTACAGTAACTCACAGTAGCCTCACATTTAACACAATGTGTGATCTCAAGCCAGAGTAGCCTTACAGTAACTCACAGTAGCCTCACATTTAACACAATGTGTGATCTCAAGCCAGAGTAGCCTTACAGTAACTCACAGTAGCCTCACAGTAGCCTGCAATGAAGTGTCCTTAAAACTTTGTACGGAGGAAGAGATCTGATGGTAATGAATTTTTCATTTTTGTGTTTCAGATCTGTGATTTTGGTTTGGCGCGAGTGGCCGACCCCGACCATGACCACACAGGTTTCCTGACGGAATATGTTGCGACAAGGTGGTACCGCGCTCCCGAGATCATGCTCAACTCCAAGGGGTACACAAAGTCCAGTATCCTTGACCAGTGAACACTCTGTGAATGCTACATACCATAGGTCCCCCAATACACAGTGCTCATGGACCCGTGAAGGTCCGGGTTAGAATTGGTGTTCAGCAACCCATGCTTGTTGGAAGAAGCGAATAACTTGATCAGGTGGTCAGGCTCGCTGACTGGGTTGACATGTCATATCCCAATTGCGCAGATCGATGTTCATGCTGTTGATACCTGGATTGTCTGGTCCAGACTTGATTATTTACATACCGCCACCATATAGCTGGAATATCGCTGAGTGTGGCGTAAAACTAAACTCACTCACTCACAATGCTCATGCTAAGAGCTGCAGTTGGAGTTGCCTCCCTTGGGCACGACAGGACTCTTATTGCAGATTGAGTTTGTTCACCCTGATTATGACTAGGTTTACCAGCACCATATGCTTTTATTGTTTTTGCAAAGTGGCAAATGCCTAAGACCTGTATTACTGTAGGCTTTCCTTCAACATTAGGCTACCATGCTGTGATTCCACTGAAGGACAGTTAGAGGCAGTGTTAGACTCACTAACTACAATCTGTAGCCTTTATGATTACGTTTAGGGTGGTGGGGCAGCCTACTGGTTATGACGTTCTCTCGTCATGCAGAAGTCCTGGGTTCGATTTTCCACATGGGTACAACGTGCGAAGCCCATTTCTGGTGTCCTCCTGCCATTATATTGCTGGAATATTGCTAAAAGCGGTGTAAATCCCAACTCACTCACTTCAATTACGTCCTTGCACTAATGGGTGCTCATGCTTTCAGCCACATTTCTTTCAATCCCAAATTTTATTCTTTATTACTTTACATGCCTGTAGTATTGCTGTACACATGCCTGTAGTATTGCTGTACACATGTATGTACTATTGCTGTACACATGCCTGTAGTATTGCTGTACACATGCCTGTAGTATTGCTGTACATTGTAGTATTGCTGTACACATGCCTGTAGTATTGCTGTACACATGCCTGTAGTATTGCTGTACACATGCCTGTAGTATTGCTGTACACATGCCTGTAGTATTGCTGTACACATGCCTGTAGTATTGCTGTACACATGCCTGTAGTATTGCTGTACACATGCCTGTAGTATTGCTGTACACATGCCTGTAGTATTGCTGTACACATGCCTGTAGTATTGCTGTACACACGTCATTGGATCCCAGTTTGGTAGATTGATGCTTATGCTGTTGATCACTGGATTGTCAGGATCAGATTCTGTTTACAGACTGCCACTATATAGCTGGAATATTGCTGAATGCGGTGTTGAACAACAAACAAACAAAGGAAAAGTATTGTTGTCTTGACATAAACAGCTCCTGACATATCTTTGTTACTGGTTGTAAGGTATACTTTGATAATAATGACAAGTTAATGGTTAACAACATCTTTTATATTGTGTGTGCAACGTTTCTGTACAGATTATTGTGCCATTGCCTAGCAGGAAATTTCCTGAAATTTTTTATCATTCTAATTCCCAACGTCAAAAATGCCATTCAGAGAAGTTATACTCAGGTATTCCTTCTGTTATTATAGATTTGACTTTATGATTATCAGTTTTCTGAATTATGGAAAATAGATTACTGGAACAGAATACTAGGATGGGAAACTGAAAATATATTTTGAGATTTGATGTTCATCAGAGTTTAATTTTCAGAATTATTTCATGTACTGCTCACGGATGTTTTCCTTAACGTGTGTCCAGTTGATGTGTGGTCAGTTGGCTGTATCCTGGCTGAGATGCTCTCCAACAGGCCCTTGTTTCCAGGGAAACACTGTATCCTTGACAACTCATCGTAACCAGAATCTGTTGGGCACAAAGTCCACATGAATCATTGTTCCTACAGTAGCAGTTTGTACTTTGTTCACTAGTTGTACTGTTGACTAAACCCAGGAACAGCTGAATTTTGTTTAGTTGTTAAGATAAAACTACAACAGTAATTTCAATTCTTACGTACTTTTCAGAGCAATGAGCATGCATCACTGTGTGCATAATTGCACTCTACAAGTGCCATCATCATCATCATTACCATCATCATCTTATAAAATGTCCACATGGGTACAATTTGTGAAGCCCATTTCTGGTGTCCCCCGCCGTGATATTGATGGAATATTGCTTAAAAAGGCGTAAAACCATAGTTAAGTCAGTCTTATAAAATGTGTACAAGTGCCATCATCATCATCATCATCATCATCATCATCATCATCATCATCATCATCATCATCATCTTTTTATATCATCTGCTTGTGTATGGATTGTTTTGTCTTGTGCCAAAACGCAAAAGTTTGAAGTTAAAGAATACTATATTCCTTTGCATAGTATATAAATGATGGTACAGTGGTGTCAAGAGGTGACCATATAAATCAGGTGGGTGACTTGGTTGATGACACATCATCAGACCCTGACGATATGGATCGCTGTTCACAATATCAATCACTTGATTGTCCGGTCGACTCACTTTACAGGCTTGTAGCTGGAATATTGCTGAGAGTGATGAGTTCAAACCAACAAGTTCACCTGTTGCATAAGACTAAAGATAGAATTCTATTTTTCATTTCAATTTCCTTTTTTTGTTTCACCTCCATATCATAAAACAGAATGACAAGTTTCAATCCTGAAAAGTATCTAGGTTTATTTAAGTTGAAATAAGGAAAACCGTGTCCAACATTTCTTTAGAAATTCATTGAAATATATATATTTGAAAGAAAACATTTGTCAACCTATTTATTGTTTACGCCTTAATGTGTGTAGATCTTGATCAGTTAAATCACATCCTGGGCGTGCTGGGCTCGCCGCGTCGAGTCAAGAAGATCTCAACTGTATCATCAATGAAAAGGTACATGACACATGATTAGCGTAGGGATGGTTCGGAAGCCTAGTGGTTAAAGCGTTCGCCTGTTATGCCGAAGACCCGAATTCGATTCCCCACATAGGCACAATGTGTGAATCCCATATCTGGTGTCCCCTGCAATGATATTGCTGGAATATTGCTAAAAGGGGAGTAAAATTAAAGTAACTCACTTACTCATGCCCTACATGGGTACAATGTGTGAAGCCCATTTCTTATGTCCCCTGCCGTGATATTGCTGAAATATTGCTAAAAGCGACGTAAAACCAAACTCACTCACTCACTTACTCATGACTAGTGTAGACTGGCAGGCTTTGTTAGGGCCTTCGGTGGCAGGGCAAAATTCTTGATTGTATTGATAGTTTGCTGTCACCTCTGTCATCAAGATCCAGGTTAGACTTGGTCTTCAACAACCTATGCTTATAAGAGGCTATTAATGGCATCAGGTGGTCAGACCTGCTGACTTGTTTGACACATGTCATCGTATTCCAATTGCGTAGATCGATGTACATGATGATGATCACAGGAGCATCTGTTCCTGATTCGATTATTAACAAACCGCCACCATATATCTTGAATATTGCTTAGGATGGCGTTAAACAACAACAAACAAACAAGCAAACAAACTCTCTCTTCACTATCTGTGTGGTCACTGCCTCCAAAGTTGTGCAGTCTGATCTGCAGCTGCATCAAACCACATGTCAAAAGATAGTACTTGCTAGCGATGTAATGATACAGTAATACAATATTGTATATGAGGCTCACTATACAATACATTGATTTGTGGTGACGTATGGTGCAGTGCATGGTGGAAGGCCCAAAAATAAAAATCTCTGTTTCCGGTAACCCAACCGACCCTATCCAACCCACCTGACCCTAAATCTTTTTCTAACCAATTCAACATCATGACTGGAGTGCATTTCAACTCATCATTTTTATCCAAATCGAGTATGATATCTTCATGTTTTTCAGTGGGGCTAAAATGGATTGCATTGAATTGGCATAATGGGCTCTCACTGACAAAACCTGCAAATAAATAACAAATAATGATTTGATATAGAAATCTTTCAATGTCTCATCACAAGACATTGCCACTACATGATATGGTATCCTTGAAAGACCTTCTCAGGTGCCCACCTGGTGCTACTAAAAGTTTATTAAAAAAGTGAAAAAAGAAGATAAAACCGACTCACCTACCCTATTTTAAAAAGCATGTTATAGGAAACGGACATATATATTTTTTGGGCCTAAGCAGAAACTGACTCCATGATGATAAATGAGTAAGTACTTGTTATTAAAATTGCTGAACAAGTACTGGTTACATTTTAGAACCAGTGACATTATTTTATGATGCAACCAAAATTTTGATGTAGCAGCAAAACCTATAAGCCAGACTGCACTCGATGCAGGTATTGAAAAAAACAACCGAAATCGCATTCTGCTGGGTAACAAACACAAAAACGAGTCTTCAGATGATGAATTATTCAATTTGTTTAGAGAAGTAATGACAAAAACATTTGACATTTTGACCTTGATGGCAGTTGTAAATTTATCACAATTTTTGGGGGCGGTGGGGTAGCCTAATGGTTAAAGCGTTGGCTCGTCATGCCAAAGACCCGGGTTTGAATCCCCACATGGGCACAATGTGTGAAGCCCATTTCTGGTGTCCCCTGCCGTGATGTTGCTGGAATATTGCTAAAAGCGGCGTGAAAACCAAACTCAGTCCAGTCAGTCAGTCACAATTTTTCACTGCAATGACCAGTGACCACATTACTGACAAATATAATTATATAAGCGTATTAATTACATAATAATAATACCACCTCCGTGGTGTAGTGGTTAGAGCGCCGCCCGGGCCCGGAGCGGGAAGGTTGCGGGTTCGATCCCCGACCGCGTCATACCAAAAGACGATAAAATATGGTACTTATTGGTCCCTGCCTGGCGCTCGGCATTAATGGGTACAACAAGGACTGGTCGGCTTGGAGTCAGTATAATGTGTCTGAGTGGGGTATTCATGCTTCACTGCGGCATGGTATCTCAGTGGGCTAGCACTATAAAACCAGCTTCAGTCTGGGCTAGTACAAGCAGCCGCACATACACTTACACACGCATGCACGTCGTCATATGAGCGAAATATTCTCAAGCACGACATTAAACCCAATTTCACTTCACCTCACATAATAATAATATTAATAAGGGCATTTGTAATGCGGTGAATTCTGCACCACGATGGGGCCTGCTACAATCTGATTATTATTACCCCAGATAACCCAAGCTGCTGTGAGGCTCTAGAAGGTTAATAGTCACATGACTCTTTCCACCAGGTACCCGGTATTCATGATATGATTCACCTCATAGTGGAATAACAATGCTCATAGTGTTTATCACTGGATTGTCTGGTCCAGACTCGATTATTTACAGACCGCTGCCATATAGCTGGAATATTGCCGAGTGTGTCGTTAAATAACAAACCAACCAACCATAATGGAATCGTTGCAGCCGTAGTAACACGTGATTCCAGTTCAGAAGGCCTAGCAACCTTCATGTGTCATAAGAGATGACTTGATGGAACCGGGCATGGTTGATTATTTATCAGTGTATGTGGATAACGTGACTTGGTGCTCATAATATCAGTCACTGTTCAAGGCATCATTATTCAGGTCCACAGTCCCATGGCTGAAAAATGGCAGCGTTACTGAATTAACAGGTGTTTGTTGCAGTAAAATTCAAGACAATTAGAATACATTCCAGGCATGATATTCAAAGTCCCATCAACAATTGTTTACTCAAATTGAACAGTATAATGTGATAATAAATATGTTTAAAATCAACAATGATTTCTCTTTTGATAGACATGTTGTTAACTGTCCTGATTTCTTCCAGGCACGTGGGTACATTCAGTCGTTGCCGTTCAAGCCCAAGGTGCCATGGAACAGGTTATTCACTAAGGCAGATGATAAAGGTAGGTGGAAACTGTTGTTTATGGAGGTGCAAATATGTAGGGTGCATGATACCAGTGTTTCCGTTATCCGGTATATGCAGGACTGGTACAAAGTTAAAATGTCCAGTAATTTCAAAGGCTGTCAGTCAAATTTTAAAATCAATTTTCTAATTACCTCTGTCAATTCTATTTCTCCTCGAAAAAGATTACGTTTTGAGAATGACATCAAAGTGTTGTCAAATAAAAAATAGCAGTTTTGGAAAGCCCGGTCTCAAAATAGCAGCATTGACGTATACCCTCTACATTTCTGATTGGTTGTTAGGCTGCAAGGTCTCGCCCACAATGAAAAGCATGATCACTTGACCAGTAAAATTTACAAATGACCAGTCACAATGTCCAGCTGTAAAAATTCCAGCGGAAACACTAATGATACTAGATTATTTTCTCATCATAAGTTCTCATCGACAATGTTTGTCAAAAGAGGCAGTATAATAGCTTTATATCGTTGTTAATAACATAGGATGTTTATCATCTAATTGTATGGTCTACACTCGATTATTCATGGGCTTTTGTCGTTATTGTTAAATACTGTGATTATAGGACTGATTAAAACAGGGGTGGAAATAACCCATTGCCCGATGCCCGAGTCCAGTGGTTTTTTCTGTCGGGCAAGCAAATTTGTATATCACACTGTATCGGTGTCCATATTGACTGTCCAATATTAATTATGTTGTTTATTTAAAAAATCAACAAGAAAACGGCCGGTATAGTGGAAAAATTATCAGGGCAAGTGATTTTACATGTGATTTCCACCCCTGAAAAATAACCTTCAAAAACAAAAGATGGTACAAAGTGTTCTTCAGTCTGTTGGTCATGTACCCAATACCCTGCTCATCAGTTTAGCTTGTAGTATTGATCAGGAGGTCACTATAGATTGTGGATGGTGGGTTGCCAAGTGTTGTAGTCATCAGACCAAAGACCTCGGTACAAAGCATGAGGCCCATTTTATGTGATATTACTAGAATATTGCTTGAATATTGTTTAAAGCAGCATAAAATCTTACTCCCTCACTCACAGTGTATGGTTTGACTGAGTGTGTATTGTTCCTGATGTTGTTGAAGCTTCATGCTATCACCCACTGACCCGTGAAGGTCCGGGTTAGAATATTTGTCTTCAGTAACCCATGCTTGTCGAGGCGACTAACGGGATCGGGTGGTCAGGCTCGCTGACTTGGTTGACACATGTCATCGGTTCCCAATTGTGCAGATTGATGCTCATGCTGTTGATCACTGGATTGTCTGGTCCAGACACGATTATTTACTGACTACCCATAGCTTGAGTATTGCTGAGTTCAGCGTATAACTAAACTCACTCACTCACTCACTCACAGTGTATAGTTTGACTGAGTGTGTATTGTTCCTTGATGTTGTTGTAGCTTCATGCTATCACCCACTAGTTTACATGGTCAATACTCACTAATATGAGTGGTTGCCGTGATGTAGTTGTAACATTGTGCAGCTCAAGGCAGCATTCACTGGGTGAAGGATGCTGCACTTCTGATTTCACCAGGGAAGGTTGGTAGCCTAGTGGATAAAGCGTTTGCTCGTCATGCTGAAGACCTGGGTTCAATTCACTGGGTTCAATAGTTCAATACGCCCAATTTTGGATCGCCGTCTGTGATATTGCTGAAACATGCATAGAACCATACTGACTGGTTGTAGGGTGTAGTTTTCATTGTAATGACAGCCTTTGTTTTTGTTTTCTAGCTCTGGATCTGCTAGACAAAATGTTGACATTCAACCCACAGAAGAGGATAACAGTAGAGCAGTCACTGTCTCACCCATACTTAGAGCAGTACTATGACCCCGCTGATGAGGTGAGATATGATGTGGTGACTCCTACTGTCTCACCCATACTTAGAGCAGTACTATAACCCCGCTGATGAGGTGAGATATGATGTGGTGACTCCTACGGTCTCACCCTAAGGTAGAGCCTCAGCTACTATCAGTCTCATCCATGTTTCAGGGCAGTGGGATAGCCTAGTGGTTAAAGGGTTTCCTTTTCCGACACGTTTGATTCCCCTCATGGGTACAATGCGTGAAGCCCATTTCCAGAAGTTGCTAGAATATTGCTAAAAGCAGCGTAAAACTAAACTCCTACTGTTTCACACTGGCGTAGAGCCTGTTGATGAGGTAACATTTGCCACAGCTGATTACATGAGACATGCCACGGCTACTATCAGACTCCCCAACACTTGGAGTTGATGACATGTGTCAAGTCCCAGACTCTCCCTAGTGATCCAGAGATGCCAACCCTCCCGAATTTATCGGAATCATTCCGGAAAATGCCTGGCGATTCCAGCAGGCCGACAAAGCCATTTGTCTGATTATGTTCAAAATATAACAAAAATATTGATAGTCTTACTTACTGGAGGGCTAGGCTCATCTTTGACTATGAATAATGAAAAGTAAATATAATACTTTATTTACAGACGTTCTCAAATTGTTTACACAAGAAAGTAATCTGGTTGTTAAGTAGGCTGCCTGATAAATTCCATGCACTGTTTATTTTATTCACTTGACATTAACAAACACTGCTGCCAAGTACTGCAAACCGGTTTCAGGGTTGTGTAAGGATCGGTATGTGTACTGTGTAATTCCTTGATTGCAATAATGAATAGGGATCCCTAATTTGTTGGGAAAATTCCTAATTTTCTCTATGTTAGGGGAGCTCAGATTCCTAATTGCACCAGTTTGGGGTTGGCATTTCTGAGTGATCATTGATATTTACTCAATTCCCATACGCAATCATTGAACGTCTGCAGTGATAAGCTTTGCTGTAGGTTCTCACCAGTAAGCCAACCAGGTGGTGTTACACCTTTGACTTAAGGTTTGGAGCTGCACCCACAGCCTTAGGACTAATGGAGACCTTATTGTGAGCCATGCATGAATCTCAAAGACTCACCCTTTCTCTTTCCCTGTTTCAGCCTGTGGCAGAGGAACCCTTCACGTTTGAGATGGAGCTGGACGATCTGCCCAAAGAGCGCCTCAAGGAGCTCATCTTTCAAGAGACTATCCTCATCAAGGAGAGAGCAGACAAGCTGCTCTAGAAGGTAATGACCACTCTCAGGGGTAGCTAAAGTGGTTGAAGCGTTTACTTGTCATGTTGGGTTCGGTTCCCAACCTGGGTACAGTGTGGGGAGCCAATTTCAGGTCTCCCCTGGCATCATGTCCGTGGATTATTGCTAAGCATGGCATAAAACATCACACACTCAACAACCCATGCTTGTTGCTAGAGGCGACTAACAGTCAACCACAGCCAGTGGTCGGCTTGCTGACTGATTTACACATCATTCTTTGCTCATGCTGTTGATCACTTGATTGTCGGGTCCAGTCTGGTTTATTTACAGACCACGGTTATGTAGCTGGAATATTGCTGAGTGCGGTGTAACAACACACAAACCAATTAATCCCAGAATTCACACATTCCTCACGGAATGCTTGTTTGCTCCATGATCTACTTGTGTAGTATAAGCCATTAGTCCATGTTAATGGCACAATGTCACACATTTTCGACAATATTTGGACCTATATTTTATATATTGGGGGCATATACACTCACTTTAGCTTCCTACTGATGCAAAAAAAGACTTATTATCCCTTACGACTTACCTGAAATCGATATTTGAAACTTCGAGGCGAACATCTTCCAAATAGAGAACACTTGTCCTATATGGAATGCAAACAATTGCTTCGTACATCGAAAACTGTCGCACGCGGGGCTGTCGGTGTTTGCTGAACCGGTTTCAATCACAATTTTAGCATAGGCTATTCGTAAAGAGAGCGCTCCAAGGGACAAAATTCTATGGTGGTCACTTGAATTAATGTTTGCCCACTAGAGTGTGGGAAAGTCGATTAAATGCAACATAACATTAATTCATTCAAACTTATTAATTGAGTATTTTTATTTGAATACGTAATTTTGGGGGAATATATTATATGGTAGCTTCCTGAGGGCTGATAGTTAGTATTATTGAGAGAAATGCATTATGTATTTTTAGAGAAGTGTGTGAGATTGCCGCCTTTAACCAACATTAACCTGTGGAATGTTTTCACTACTGTTGCCCACCCTGGAAGGTCCGTTTAAAAGTGGTAATATGTGGTAATGACTAGTTGTTTCTCATGCTGTCAACCACTGCTTTCCTGCAGATACAAATATTGACAGGCTGAAATATTGCCGATTGTAATTCACCCATTCATTGGCAACCTGTTTGAGCACAGCCATGTTTGAGTCTTGGGCCATTTAGACCCATAGGGGATCTCGAGTTGGAAATGATTCCCAGCAGCCTTGGCTGGGTGTAAATGTCACCTACAAGGATCGGGTGGTCAGATTCTGAGACTTGGATTAATATGTGTCCTTTCCACGACAACATAATTTTTTACTCATTATATAAATCACTGGATTATCTGCTCCAGACTTGATTCTAATATTTTTGACAGCTTGCTTCAGACAACAAAAACATCCACGCAAAACAACTTGAATATCCAGTAAAATCTTGTCATTGAAAATGTGTGTGTCTGGTTCAGAGATAATGGGTGTGTTAATTATATTTTTACCTTTCCAGGCCAGATTCGGATTTATTAGAAACCATATTCCTAACACAATGAAGAATCCAAGGACAGAACATTGAAGAACATCAGAGTGAGCTTCAATTTAATGCCGCTGGCCATGCACTTTCCATGCCCATCTGGTACAACGTATGATGGACCCAGGGGAGATGACTCTGATTACTACTTCCTGTATAGATGGCCTCGTCTGCTGCGGCAGTCTCTCACTGTTTGATATTGTCTTACTGTCCTTAGCGGGAGACGTAGCTGTGAAGACAGATGACGTAAGACGACCGTATTCACTGTGTCCAAACAGTTCTCTTCTAGATGACCAGGTCAAGAATAATGAGTAGCGCTCCCTCACTATGATGAAGCTTGGTTGCTCTGTACAATCAACTGGATTCTTGTTCTGGGAAATTGTCAGTAAAAAGTCATGAAAAAAATATTGATCTGTTTTTTACAGATCGGTTTTCTTAAATGGATTTTCTAGAATTCAGTCCTAAGAATTCCATGCTGGAGATATTGAATCACAAAAACACCTTACTATATCATTATGAGTTATTTTAGACGATTTACAAGAAAAAACTTTAAGTGTTGGTGCTGTGTATGCATTCCATACAAAGGAATGTTCATTGGCCTTTAGTTCAAGAATTCTGATTGTTGAATACCCAAGTGTGCATTATAAGGAGGAACCAGTAGTTGTTATAGCGAGGGAGGGCTGTGATCTTGTTTGGTCCATTGTTATTTGCAGTCTACGATTGGTCCAATTGTGTATACATATGTTGATGTTGTCACGTGGATTTTTCAGTCCTCGTTATCATCTTGCAAAGAACAAACTTTTGTACCAACATTATTAAATAGGACTGTGTTGTTGTTACTACTTCTTAGCTATACTGCTGTGGAGAATACTGAAAGCAAGATATTTTTGGAAAAAGATTTCACCTTTTGTGAAATGTTCTTCCTTTCCAAAGAAATTCAATTTGGGCCAGGACATTTTACAATGGTATATAGGTGAGAGATCCTTTAGATAGGAGCGCATGGTGCTTACTTTGAAGAATTTCGGGACCAGGTCACGGATGACATTATCCCCTCTCCAGATTAAAATATTGATAGTTTCCACGGTTTTGTGTATTTCCACGAAATCTATTTTGTGTGATGCACATTTTTGACGAATCCACCGTGGGAGAATTTACAGTAGCGACACATGGTTTGAAGAATTGAGGACTCAGTATCTGCCGGTGATAATTAACACCAGTATGAATAAGATTGTTTCTCGTCGTGATCATTTTCTCATCACCAGTATCATCCTGACCTGAATCTGAAGACTTTTGTTATTTCGTGCTAAGATCCACGTTGACAGAATGTTCGAAATCCCATTGGTTTTTTTTGTGTCCATCAATGTAACGGATGATTTTCAAAAAGTCTTTTTCTACAAGGCAATTTATATTGGTTAAATGAATTTGAGAAACATTTAAACGATTAGAAAGTATTTGGTATTTGAATTAAGAAGTGACAAAATTGCATTGTTAGTGATTCTACTTTCCTTGAAACATATTGTCATCACCACTGTCTTATAAAACGTGGTTGTGCAAGAGAACTGCTTTCATTGAAGTCTTTGATTAAAAAAAAATCTGTGACAGATTATTTGATGGAATCTAGAGAATAACAGATTATTGATTCATCTTCAAAGCGACTGGTCAGCAGCTCAATCAAGTAAGAGTGACATGTTATAAGTACTATTTTATCATTTACTCATAGTGGTTCTCTTCAGATAGCATATACAAAACTGAAGCTGTTATTGTTTTCTTGAAATATAAATCACAAATTCTACTTCAGTATTGTGCTTGTGATAAACTACTCCCCACAAGACTGATTCCAATACTGTGTTTGTTATCCTTGTTTTATTTACTGAGCGAAAAAAGTTAGGGATCATGTATATTTTTGTGAATATTAAATTACATTTCGACAGTCATCAGTACAAGAAAATATCCCCAAACTACTCATGATCCCTAACTTTTTGTGTTGAGTATAAGTGCTATTTCAGCTTCCTCCATTACGATGTCTTACAATTTTGATAAATGTGTATTTAAATTTGGAGAAATATATAAATATATTATATTATATATATGTGATACTACAAAAGTACTGAATTTTGCTGTATTTGTACAAGCAAAATAACTATCTTTTTTTCGCATTACACATAGTTAGTTTTTGTCCCTGCTGTGACTACCAACCATATCAGACATGTATCTTCAGTAGAATGGTCTATGAGTCTTTATAAGGTTGCCTTTCTGTATGATGTTTCTGAATTTGTGTGTAACGTACTGCCAAAATGACTTGTTCTTCAAGACATACCATGTATATTATTTTGTCGGTGGAAGCATGAGTTGTTTACAATCAGCATCTTGTCTCAAGTTGGTGTTCAAATGAGAAAAAGTAGTGTAAACACTGGGATAGATACCCCTGCAGTCCAAGAAACTCCCTCTCCCTCCCGGAAACCTTTTCTAGAAGAGAACAAAGAGAATGTGCTACAAAGATTTGTCAAGAGTAATGAAGAAGCCAGGAAAGAAACAAAATTATAGGAAAGTTGTTGTACTAATAGTATCTGCAATTGATGACAAATTGACACATTTTCAGCTTCATTTCAAATTGCAGCCCAGTCATATCCTGTAATCCTCCCAAACCAAATATCTGCACCATTAGAATGAGTCTCAAAGATTTATGAAAATTAATAAAGTCAGATAAAGAACAATCCGTTAGGAATGTTGTCATTTTTATAGTATCTGAAACTAGCAAGAAGTCGACACTCTTTCAGTTATTTTTTGTAGTATTTTCCACTTGTGTTGTAGAAAACTGAATCAACCCATACTGATGTAAAAGATGTTCCTTATTTGTAGAGGCTGTTGTAGCTTACATGCTTTGTAGTTTTGGAGGGTGACTTGAGTTTAATGAAGGAAGAATATTTCGTTTGGCTACTTTGTGTTGAATTTAGCTAGGTTCGAATCTGGATACGTCTGACATGAACTAATATTTTCTTTTTGACATTAACTGCGGTATTTATTCAAGTGTTTACCAAACTTATCATTCTCATGTTCTGTGTGTCAATGGTAATTTATACGTTAGTTGACATTATATATTTGATTTCCTGTTTGACGTTTCATTGTGATGTGTAGCATCACAGATGGGTGTAGATGCGGGGTCATCCAGTCTAGTAGACTAGTCCTGTCTAGTAGACTGGTCCTGTCTAGGAGTCAACATGCTAATTTCCCTAGGAATGACATATCTCTCTCTATAACACTTCCTGTGAAATCCGGGAACAACGGGACCCATTGTTGCCGAGGCTGTGAAAACATGGCTGCTTCTTCCTGGCTGGAATCTTTTGCACTATTTAGGTTTTGGCTGGATTTCAAACATTTTCATTTGTTGCTACCTGTCAGACGACTGGGGTGGTCTGGAGATAAACATACTGATGCCAGTGGTGGGTTCTAGCACCATGGCTGACATTTCACCAACAACCTGAACAGGGTAGGAAACTCCCAAAAAATTTCAGCCAGACCAGCCCTGACCAAAACTTACCTGCCCGCAAATAATTTAGGTTTGACAAGCGACGTAGTTTATCATCAGATTGGAATTCATCATTTTTTTTACAAGTGAATTAATGATTTATTATCCAGAAATATGATGAATATCTTCATATACGTGTCCAAATTTTAACCCGACTGTCGGACAGGTGAATTTGAGAATTTGGCAGTGTGTGTTGAAATTAACGCGTCCCGGGCTGTCGGGCAGGCAGGTATTTCGAACGTTGAACCTGAACCTTGGTTCTCCTCAAACATTTAGCTGACATATGACATAACTGTTCAAAATAACTGAAACACCACACACAAGTTGAGTCCAATTTTGATCTTTTTCATCAGCATCAGAACAGAATGAGAGTCTGCAGAAAGGGATATGTGAATGGGATGAGAGGTTTCGTCAGTCCTCCATCTGTATCAGGGATAATGGTATTGGTATTTCTTGTCCCAATGCGGATGTATAAATTCTTTTACCTCAGTAAAACTGACCCATTTGTCGCTAACCATGTGGAAATTCTACCATATTGCTAACCATGTGAACAATTCTACCACATATTGCTAACCGTTTGAATATTCTACCTTTTGTTGCTAACTTTATAACATTGGGCAGAGTTTTAGCAGAAAACCTTTGAACAAATTACCACTTTAGAGACAATCATACAGTAATGTAGAATATTGATTTCTGGAGAGTGACATATATGGCTTGAGACTGTGTTACCATAGTTACTAGTTTGTATCATAGGTGCAGCATGTAACTGTTTGCAACATCCTAAACACCACATTCTGCATTAGTTCAAGTTGTGTTTTTTTATTTTTACATTGCAGTAAAACATCCAATATATGCTTTATCATAGAGGAGCTACACAAGGCTATTACACTGTAATTTGTCTGTGGCACAGCACTGTTCATAGTACACGTAATCCTTAACAAATGAGAGGCTCTTGTGTAAATGTTGCCCACATTTAAATTGCTTATATTTTGTTATATAGAAATATACATTCATGAGGACTTAATACATGTTGATGTTGCTTACAACTAAACAATGAATGGGGTTTGTCTTGGATACTTTGCCTTGTTGCAGACATCACCACTGTTGCTATAATATGGCTGATCTAAATTTAAAGTCTGACCTTGAATGATGAATTGTTTTGCATGAGATAAGGTGGTCATGTTACTGATCAGTCATGCAGAGGTCAAGGTGACCATTTGATATCCTGAATTTCAAGGTAACCTATCGAGGTCAAAGTAACCTATGATCTAGATGTCAAGGTAACCTATCGAGGTCAAAGTAACCTATCATCTAGATGTCAAGGTAACCTATCGAGGTCATAGTAACCTATCATCTAGATGTCACGGTAACCTATCATCTAGAGGTCACGGTAACCTATCATCTAGAGGTCATGGTAACCTATCATCTAGAGGTCAAGGTGATCATCCAGAGGTCAAGGTGATCATGCGATCATCCAGAAGTCAAGGTGATTATTCGATCGTCCAAGATGACTGTACGCAAGTATAGTAGGCAAGTGTGATGGGCAGGACTGTCAATTAATCCAATGAATACTTGGAAAATATTTAATATGTTATTTATAGTGAAGTACTCGTGTATATTTTTTTCTTCTTCCCCAGTTGATGTGATATGATGTCATACTCTGAATACGCCCATATCTGTACCATTCCAGTCACTGTTCATCTATTACTGGGGTGAAATGATCCATCAAAGTCTGCAGCAAGATGCACAGGTTGAAACTGTTTAGTGCATCATTATCTTTGGTACAAGTTCTCGTAGATTTAAAACGGCAAGGGTCATGTGATGGTTTAATGTGTGCTAATTGCTGGGAGGTTTATATATCCTCCAAGCCAGTGTTCAGTAAATTGTGAGTTTGAATCCCAAATTTTGCATGTTTGGAACCTTGATTTGCCTGCTCCAAACCCATGGATTTATGTCAAAGGATTTCACATGGGTTTCTCTCACAAGACCCATAACACTCAAAGCTTTCCGCCCACATTAAGCCGACATTATCAATCATAATGAATAAACTTGTAACTGGATGGAAATGTACCAAAATTGTTATTTTGTCATTAGAGCATTTTGTGAATAGGTTAAAAAATTTGACTTGTTATGCCTTGAGCAGGGGGTTTCAGTACAACTTTAAAAAAGGTTTTAGTTTTACACACAAAAAACCCCAAAGTTGTTGATTTCCCTGACTGTCTCTGTGCATGCAGATCCCTGTAATCAACCCCTTGCTCTGGGTGGTCCTGCCTTCAGTGTTTCATAATATACGTTTCCTCACGATTTTGTCAAGATAATGCTGTTTGATGTATTGCTGGTTTGTGTACGTGTTTTATGAATTGTTATGTGTTGCTTTGGTGAATCGTTTCATCCCCTTCTCTTGTTTATATCATCATTTCACTGAGTACAGCTCCAAATGCATTTCTATATGTACGAAAATAAATCTTGATGCAATCCTCCATTCTGTTACTTTGTGATACGAGTCGTACGTTTGCACAATGTTGTAAAGATGATGTGAAGAATCACGATGGCCATGTAAATGACATAAAGTTATGAGTTGTTTCAATTTGTCATACAATACAACTCACTACATTGTATTGAAATCTGTCTTTGCTAGGCATTTTGAAGTTGATTGAACATAAACACATAACGCTTTTTACTGATAAAACAAAAGTTTTCCAGAAAAGTGTCATATGTTCGTATTGAAGACAGGTTCACATTTTTTAAGTGTTTGCCAAAGTCCATGAGACTTTAGATAAATTATACAAAAAATAAGCCTTTGAAATTAATTATTAATAAAAACGATATATTAACTGCTACCAAATTTATGAAAAGCAGTTCTAAGGTAAATGTTCAAACTGAGATAATTAGTTGTGCTGTCTATTGGTAAACGGTACGTTGATTGATAGTGCATCCTGACTCTGTGGACCATCATTTCACAGAGCCGAGCATGAGAACTTAGCTTGGTGGTAGCATTTCTATTTGCTTTTGTCTTTATTCATCTGTTACTGTTTCTGAAGTTTAAGGAAAAGGCTGGTCCTTTTGTAAATGATATTGTGTAACCAGAATAGGCGTAAAAAGTATTCTTGGTTTGTTAAAGTAAGTCCTGTTCCAGAAAGTGACAATAATGGCCATTCTGCGGAATAGGATTACAGTGATGTAGCTCAACAGGGCTACAACAAGTCTGTAGCTAAGTATAGGATTATAACCTAGTAGTTTTAGGGCTACAACTGGCATATGTCTGTGGCAGAGTATAGAAATTACAAAATAATAGTTTAACAAACCTATAGCCTAGGTTAGGCGTTGCAATATTTGGGTCTACAACAAGCTTACTAGTGTTGGGAATTGGTTAAAATCTCATAATTGATGATTGGTTCATTACTACCGATCAATCATCGAAAATAATTGGTTAGCGTCATTTATGAAATTTGTTAATGCACATAAAAATAAGGGAAAAACCCATGTAGTTCTTTTGGGTTTTCTTTTGCAAAATTTCATATCTTTAAAGGATGACTAGTATGTTAGGAACATAAATTTCTTGGAATCGTTAAGATAAATTCAATCATGACTTGAAACGAGCTTGTAGTGCTTACGAAATATAACAGACAAAACCAACCATGTGAAAAATATTGTTAATGAAAACAAGTGTTCCAGAATCGTTTGTGTTCGATTATGAGAAATTATGATCGATTGCTTGGTCGTTTAGTCACTACGACCAATCTTCGATTATTTCAATTAATCGGACCACCACTAAAGTTTACACCTATAACAAAAGTGTATTAAAATTTAATAGGCTACAACAAGCAAAGGTCTTTTGGAGGTGTGTACATGGTATAGGGAGTAAATATGATGTATATCTGTTGCCAAGTCTAGGAATTACAAGTTCAAGGTCAGCGGGCTACAAAGGTGGTGATTCATTCCAGTTAAGCGCAGGACACTATATGATTAGTATAGGTATTACAACTTAATAATCTTAGGATACAACAGGCAAAGGTCTTTTGTAGTGTGTCCATGGTATAGGGAGTAAATATGATGAATATCTGTTGCCAAGTCTAGGAATTACAAGTTCAAGGTCAACAGGCTGCAAAGGTGGTGATTCATGCCAGTGAAGTGCAGGATACGACATGTATGGTAATCGAAGAGCAGCAGTCATCATTGAAGCGTTGCATTTACAGCACGGTGACCTTAGCACTACCATAACAATATCACTTCCATTGTTTCAAAGCAGTCTTTATCTTTTCGCTTTAAAAAACCCAACTTGTTCTGATTTCTAATAAAATAAAATTTTCTTTGGAATTAATATATTGGTCAATGGATCTGTAAACCAAGGAAAAAAGTCTACAGAATAATATAAATATTGAAAGCCTAGTCTTGATCATATGTTTGCATGAGGTCCCCAAGCCTAGTTCCTCTGTCATGTGACATGCATATAATAGTTCTGATGGTAAAGGGGCGGTGGGTTAGCCAAGTGGTTAAAGCATTAGCTCGTCATGCTGAATTCCCCACATGGGGACAATGTGTAAAGCCCATTTCTGGTGTCCCCCACCGTGATATTGCTGGAATATTGCTAAAAGCGGCGTAAAACCATACTCACTCACTCCACGCTAATTTAATATTACTCTACTGACGCCCAGGATCGGTACCGGTACACTTCTTGGAGTAGGACCCAAGAGCTTGATATTGTTCCTAGTTTCATGCCTGAGCTTAAATTCACTTCATTTCATTTTGTACCACATAAGTGTAATATATTTCATCAAGGTTTTATCAGATTTATGGCAGAGTAAACTAAGTATCGCTTAGATATAACTCGGATACCTCAGGTGAATATCAACATTCTTCTGTCTTTACTGATGAAAACTGAAAGTATTAGTTTGCAAGAGCTGACGGTGGCAGGACGTGTTTGAGACACGTTGACTATTGTATTCAATTTGATCAGAAAGGATGACGTACTTGACGATTAATGTCTCTTACTTTCCAGCTTGGTGCTACTCTTCATATATATAGCACTTGGCAATGTTTAAAACCAGTGGTTCATTCTTCCTACATGGTGTATCAATTTGAAAATATACTGAAAGAAACAAATAAAGGAACACAGGAAAATTCAAGTGTTCCTTTTATAGTTTCCAGTTTTCATCACCAGCTTTGAATAGCGTAGTGGGAGGAAATCTGAGAATAAATAAAGGAAAACTGACATGAAGTGGTGTTCCCTTATTTGATTCCCTCAGTATATGTTGGTTGATATTTGAAAAGCCACATAACTCGGTATCATCAGTTGTTCGCATGTTTTGAACTGAAGGCCTTGTCTTTGTTTTTCTACTGTTGCACGAAAACAATCGCTTGTTGTAATGCTGTGCCGGCTGTTATGTTTTTGTAGTTAAAAGGGTCTAGCATAGAATTAAGGTGGATCTTGATTATGTCATGCTCTTTCCTGTCTGAGAATGACAATGGACAAGTTTTGGTTTGTTTTGTAAATGACTTGACATTTGAAGCTTATGTATGTTTTTAAACAGTGCCATTAAGCCACATCAAGTTAATTATTTGTTTTACTCAAAATTATTTATCAAAGTAAATACAATTGATTTTAGAATATATACTACACATACTTTGATGGGAAATGTCTGTAAACTATGTACTATGTATTCTTGAGTTTGATGTATATCGGTATAACAGTCAAATTTATGTTCAAAATTTTAATAAATGGGTATGTTTAATACTTGTTACAAATTGTAGATTCTTCATACTCTTACAAGTTTTGGCCTTAAAAGTAATTTTACACAAAATAGATAATGATTATATAATTGATTACTGATAACTAGAAACTATCCATCCCTATGAACAGGGATTGGCAACATATGATGAACTTCTTGTGGCTTGATGGAGGTTATATCCCAAAGCTTGTCACAAAAGCAGTTGTTGACAAATAGTATTTCTGATAGAGGTTGAATATGTGTCCTGGGACAAAAAGATGTTAGGGCAACCAACTGCTGGCTGCAGTAAAGAGGGCTGGTCAATTATTAAAGGGTGCTTATCAAAGAGAAAGAAAGTTGTTAGAACTTTGTTTTTAAGGAAACTTTAATATCATGTCCTAAAATTGATATAATCTTGTTATTTAATTATTTGTCTAAAACATAATTAAAATAATGAAATAAATAATAAATAAAGTTTTTTGGGGAACATCATGAAAGGGAACATTTAAGGCGGGTTGTATGTACTTAGTGAGACAATGGACAAGCAATCTGTGGCCATCACCTATAGTAAATGACCAGTCCATTGTTGGTGTCTTGGTTCCTTGGTTTACAGGTCAATATACCAATGTTGTCAACACTGTCCAAATGATAATAATATTTAACTCAACTTCTCATAATGATGATCAGATATGTCTTTGTATTTAAATCTTCACTCAAAATATGAGAATCAGTTTTTGTGTTTCACATACAGATAGAAATATCCTTCAAGTTGACTAGTAGTTGTTAAACGTTTTAACACAAGACAATTTTATTTAACCTATGCTTGTTTGAATAATTCATATTTTTCAAAACCAAAGTGATCTTGAAACATTGATGTGTCAGTGAGCTGCAGGTCTTCACTCAATGGAGGATTTGTGCCATTTAGTGAAATATTCAGTGAAAAGATGTAAGACTTCATGAATTGTCATTTTTCTATTTTTTGAATTTGGAATTGCTGGTAAACCAAGAAATATGTAACAACACCTTGAGATAAGTACGAGTTTGCAATACACAAGCCGATGTATTGTTTCTGTCGTGTTCAAATCTATAGCTGTCTGTGACCCCTGCAGTAGGTGTCATGACTAAACATGTTGTATCTTATTTTAAAGTCTAATTTTCAGTAATGTTATGTATATGGGTACTGCTTGTTGAAATTTATTTTTGGGTCCAGTTTTCTTGAACTTAAAAAAATATTGTCCAAACTTTAGACATTGTTGATGTATTCTTAGTTGACCTTGTATTGCCGCAGAATAAATTTCACATACCAAGAAGTGGTTGGTTTTCTTTTTGTTGGATCCGACTTTTGACAACTGGTTGGAGTTTATGATTGGAAAGTACTTTGACCTTGAATTTGAGTGAGTGAGTATTGCTAAACACTAAACACTGCAATTTTGCAGCTATTCACTGCGAACCTTGAATTTGACCTTCAATACCAATGACATTTTAAGAACATACCATAAAGATACAACCAGGAACCTTGATAGGAAAACTCGAATAGCCAACTGGTGAGCCATTCTGTCCCAGAACCTCAATGGGAAAACCATCAGAGGGTATTGGGGAACTGACCTGGAACCTTGAGGGAGAGACAAGTATCACAGGATACTAGGGATCTATCCTAAACAGGCACCTTGATAGGGAGCCCTGCAGCCAACAGGAGAGCTATCCTGTCCTGGAACCTTGACATAAACACTGACATGGAGTACTGGGGAGCTATCCTTTCCTGGCACCTTGATATGAACACTGACATGGAGTACTGGGGAGCTATTCTGTCCTGGAACCTTGATATGAACACTGACATGGAGTACTGGGGAGCTATCCTGTCCTGGAACCTTGATATAAACACTGACATGGAGTACTGGGGAGCTATCCTGTCCTGGAACCTTGATATAAACACTGACATGGAGTACTGGGGAGCTATTCTGTCCTGGAACCTTGATATAAACACTGACATGGAGTACTGGGGAGCTATCCTGTCCTGGAACCTTGACATAAACACTGACATGGAGTACTGGGGAGCTATTCTGTCCTGGAACCTTGATATAAACACTGACATGGAGTACTGGGGAGCTATTCTGTCCTGGAACCTTGCAATGAACACTGAAATGGAGTACTGGGGAGCTATCCTGTCCTGGAACCTTGATATAAACACTGACATGGAGTACTGGGGAGCTATTCTGTCCTGGAACCTTGCAATGAACACTGAAATGGAGTACTGGGGAGCTATCCTGTCCTGGAACCTTGATATAAACACTGACATGGAGTACTGGGGAGCTATTCTGTCCTGGAACCTTGCAATGAACACTGAAATGGAGTACTGGGGAAATCTCTTGATATGAACACTGACATTGAGTACTGGGAAGAAGAAAAACAAAACATTGGGAACGGGGGAACTAAACACCACCCTTTGCTGTATTCCATGACACTGACATCTATGATCTGGTGGGAATTCCATGTTTGAACTGTACCCCAGTATGCTGTACTTGTCCAAAGAGTGAGTTTAGTTTTACGCCGCACTCAGCAATATGGCGACGGTCAGTAAATAATATAGTATGGACCAGACAATCCAGTGATCAACAGCATGAGCATCGATCTGCTCAATTGGGAACCGATGACATGTCAACCAAGTCAGCGAGCCTGACCACCCGATCCCGTTAGTCGCCTCTTACGACAAGCATTGGTTGCTGAAGGCAACCACATGGATCAGATATTACGGTTCTGTCACATGGTGGATTTTGTCATCTTACCTTGATGATAAGAGTGAGTGAGTTTAGTTTTACGCCACTTATAGCAATATTCCAGCAATATCACGACTGAGGGATACTAGAACTGGGCTTCACACATTGTACATATGTGGGGATTCGAACCCAGGTCTTCGGCGTGACCCCACAGCCCCTTGATGATATCGGACACTGCCCATAATCACATTAAGACTACTAAAGAATGTGGGGTAGCCTAGTGGTTAAAGAGTTTGCTTTTCACGCCGAAGACCCGAGTTTTATTTTCTACATGGATACATTGTGTGAAGCCCATTTTCGTGTCCCTTGCCGTGATATTGCTGGAATGTTTCTATAAGTGGCGTAAAACTAAACTCATGAACACCAAAGGAGTGTCTGCCCAAGACCAGCAGGTTGATGGTTTGACCACCTGCCTCAAACCAAGAGATGTTAAAAGATGGTAGCTGTTCTCACCCTGCCTCGTGCTCAGCATTTGCAGGATAAAACGAATACTGGGCAAGTCATGATTATGAATGTGGGATTTGATGTTTACTCATGGCTACATGGTGTCTCTGTGTGATAGCACTGCAACACTGGCGTGAGTCCTCACTGGTACAAACAGGCAGACAGACAGACAAGTAGACAGACAGACAAGTAGGCAGACATACAAATGCACATGCAATCAAAGAGATAACTTCACTTCACCTTATATTTGGACCGCCTCTGTGGTGTAGTGGTAAGAGCGTCCGCCAGGAGAGCGGAAGGTCGCGGGTTCGATCCCCGGCCGCGTCAAACCCAAAGACGTTAAAATATGGTACTTGTTGGTCCCTGCCTGGCGCTTGGCATTAATGGGTACAACAAGGACTGGTTGGCTCGGAGTCAGTATAATGTGTTTGAGTGGGGTATTCATGTTTCACTGCGGCATGGTATCTCAGTGGGCTAGCACTATAAAACCAGCTTCAGTCTGGGCTAGTACAAGCAGCCGCACACACACATACACACGCATGCACGTCGTCATATGAGCGAAATATTCTCAAGCACGAAGTAAAACCCAATTTCACCTTACTTCATATTTACCATTAAAATGTCCATGTATGCAGACTTGGTCTTGTCTCTATATGATTGAGGCAATGCTGGTGCGACGTAACACCAACTCAACTCAATTATATTTACCAATTTCTTTGAGTGGCATTTTAGAAGTTGGGAAGTACAATATAGAACAAACTTTATCATCCTTTGTCTACTCTCTGGCTTCATCAGCTTTCTGCCTAGCCAATTATGTTAATTATGTTGTTTTCATGTTACATCCAGTATATATACACTTCCCCCTTATTCATGTTCCATTATGCTTGACAACGGTACAAGAATCTGTATCCAAACGTCGCATTCACGAATAAAAAGAAGTTGTTATCCATAAAGTTTGTTCTATATTATATTTACCAAGTGAATCACTGACAACTAGGTTGACCATCAGAGCTACACACAGAGAGATATAGTCATAATTTCACTTCACTTCATATTTGTCAAGTGGATTATAATATTGAACATAAGAGAACAAAAGACCTCTATGAACATAAAATCTTTAATCATTAGGTTTAGTTTCACTGGTGGGTGGATCTGCTGGTTCACGCTTTAACTCTGGAGCAGACGGCATCTCAGTGGGAGCCTGGGGCACCTTACTGTCTCTGAACAAACTGGTGGAAGGAGGGAAAGGGTCATCGCTAGGTTCATATGAAGGTCGTAGTGGTGTACCCGTAGAACTGACAGGTCGACGTGAACCTCCAGGTCCTGGACTTCCTGACATGCCCAGTCGGAAACGTGCTGGACTTGCAGGTGACCTTGACATTCCTCGTCTAGCTTCTTTGATGGCAGCCTTCTCAATCTGCTCATGTCTGATCTTGTTCAGAACATTATGCATACTTGCAACCTTTTTCTGGCTCCGTGGCGTTGTCTTGCTTCCTAATAGACACATATAACTTGTTTATTACAAATGCAGTGTTTTTGTCCACAAGATTAAAGAATGAGTACAACATTACTTTACTGAGCATTTTCCTAACATTATGTCAAGTGCAATATTAACATAAACAAATATTCTCAAGTCTTCCTGGCACCATGTAGGAGATGTATGTTCCACATTTACAAGTTCCCAGACATGGAATACAAAGGTTTCTTCTGAATGGCTCACATATGGCTTCTTTCTGGTGTAGGGATGTGTAACTGATCTTAGTCAGCTTATGGTTATGACTGTTCATAAACCAAGAAGTCTGGACCAAGTATATATAAATCTTGAAACATTTTAAAGTAGTAAATACACATTCCCTAACAACAGACCTGGAGTAGCTGATACACATTCCCTAACAACATACCTGGAGTAGCTGATACACACTCCCTAACAACATACCTGGAGTAGCTGATACACATTCCCTAACAACAGATCTAGAGTAGCTGATACACATTCCCTAACAACATACCTGGAGTAGTAGATACACATTCCCTAACAACATACCTGGAGTAGTAGATACACATTCCCTAACAACATACCTGGAGTAGCTGATACACATTCCCTAACAACATACCTGGAGTAGTAGATACACATTCCCTAACAACATACCTGGAGTAGCTGATACACATTCCCTAACAACATACCTGGAGTAGCTGATACACATTCCCTAACAACAGATCCAGAGTAGCTGATACACATTCCCCAACAATATACCTGGAGTAGTAGATACACTTTCCCTAACAACATACCTGGAGTAGTAGATACACATTCCCTAACAACAGACCCAGAGTAGCTGATACACATTCCCTAACAACATACCTGGAGTAGCTGATACACATTCCCTAACAACAGACCCAGGAGTAGCTGATACACACATTCCCCAACAACATACCTGGAGTAGCTGATACACATTCCCTAACATTGTCAACATACCTGGAGTAGTAGATAGTATCTAAGATACACTTTCCCTTACAACATACCTGGAGTAGTAGATACACATTCCCCAACAACATACCTGGAGTCCTCCTTGGAGTCGGTTTTGCAGATGCTTCTGATCCAAAATCATCAAAGTCAAATTCACTGATCTCAGGAGCTCTGTAAAATGTATCAATTAACTGATTAGTGATATCTAGCAAATAATTGAAAATGAATTGGTGATCAGAATGTTTACCATTCACTCACAAGAACAAAAGGGGTGGTCATCACTCTAAGATCAAGGTTCGATTCTCCACATGGATACAATGTGTAAAGCCCATTTCTGGTGTCCCCACACCGTGATGTTGCTGGATTATTCCTAAAAGCCGTGTAAAACAATACTCACCCATGATATATGTCAGCTTCGCCTAATACTGGATTCGTTGCAGCCATACTAAATCACTGTCCTCTCATTTCTGACTTTTAAAGTTACGACTACAGGGCAGGCCCTATTCTATTGAGCGATCTTTGTGCTATTATGATCATTAGCATATTATATTAAGGGAGGTAAAATCATATTAGCAATAAGATCGCTTTGTGGATCTGGGTTCAAGGTCACTAAACCACAATGCCTACTTTATCTCTTCATCCTTGGAGTCATCGTCACTGTACATATCTTCCTCATCTCCAACATCGTAGTCGGTGCTGCCTTTCTCCGGGGGGACGGCGGTCTTCTCCCAGGACACTTCCAGCGTAGCTCCAACACCTTGTCCTTGTCAAGCTTTTCAAACATAGCCAGGATGTCCTTGGCATCAGGGGTCCATTCAACTGGGGCATCCTTCTGTTCGTCGGTGCTTCCCTCTTCGTCACTTCCTTCAACGAACCAGTCATCATCGGCTGCTGCTGCTGCCGTGATGCCTCCCCCGAAAACCATGACTTGAGTGATTATGAATGACAATTGTCTGCAATCACACTGCTTCTAACGATTCTACATCAGCAAGATCATCTTCACAAGACAGAGTCTTTAATACATAAAACACATTGCACAGTGGGTTCCCACAAGGAATTATGGTCAGGACGATATCAGCTTTTCCCCATTTCAAATCTGAAAAGAGAAACATTTCGTGTCTTCAGTTTTAATCCTGATCATGGTATATCGATGGAAAACACTTAATTATGTCTGCATTCCACTGAGTTAGGGTAACATATACATATTTCCGTTAACTTAAATAATAGGGATGTCACATTACATAAGTTTCATGAATCGATACATATCACAATACCCATGTCACGATTCAATACATATCACGATACCTATTTTCGTGGCATTATTGTGTAAAGTTAGTTACATTTTGAACATTAATATTTCATATTTTATAATTGTTCATGAAAATATCAACATCTTTTTTCTCAGAGATTAAAAAGTTCTAATTTTCCATCTTTGTGCATGAAAAATAATCATTTATAACTGTCATAACATAAAAAACATGATACAATTTCAAAATGTAAACGATACATAAACATATTCAAACCGATACTTCAAAACTAAATATCAGTTTTGAATGTATCGATAATTGTATCTTCTTAGAAAAAGTATTGATGAATCAATGTTCTGTGACATCCTTATTAAATAAGCGAAAGATGTTGTATTTGACTGCATCAAAATGAATTTATCCGTTAAACATGTTAAACACCATGCTCATGTAAACAACATTACCAATGTCGGATCATAGCTTACTGGACGGTACCGGCTGCCCAACAGTTATCATCGTGTAACAGTTGTTGCCAATACATCTGAATGTGACCCCTTCCGTGGTGTAGTGGTTAGAGCATCCGCCCGGAGAGCGGAAGGTCGCGGGTTCGATTCCGGCCGCGTCATACCAAAAGACGTTAAAATATGGGACTTGTTGGTCCCTGCCTGGCGCTCGGCATTTATGGGTACAACAAGGACTGGTCGGCTCGGAGTCAGTATAATGTGTCTGAGTGGGGTATTCATGCTTCACTGCGGCTGGGTATCTCAGTGGGCTAGCACTATAAAACCAGCTTCAGTCTGGGCTAGTACAAGCAGCCGCACATACACACGCATGCACGTCGTCATATGAGCGAAATATTCTCAAGCACGACATTAAACCCAATTCCACCACCACCACATCTGAATGTATAAACAACAGTTCAGCAGCCAGTAGAGCCTATTCATGCTACAACAAAGTAAATTGTGTCATATAGACATTGTATATACTCAGATGAAGGCTTTTGTTTAAGATAAAGTCTTTAATAAGTTAGTGACATGTTGCAAAATTGGTCATGTGATCATGGTGACAATGGAGCCAACAATTTTTGTTCTCAAACATGTTGTTAAGCATCTGAAAACCCATAAGACAATGATAAACAAGGAAATCTGTTGATAATGTTTATAATCAGGATTATCAATGTAAACAAATCAGTGTACAATGGTGAATGTGTTAACATTTATGTCTAGTACATATACTTAGTTTTAAGTGAGTGAGTGAGTGAGTGAGTGAGTTTGATTTTACGCCGCTTTTAGCAATATTCCATAAATATCGTGGCGGGGGACACCAGAAATGGGCTTCACACATTTTGCCCATGTGGGGAATCGAACCCGGGTCTTCGGAGTGACGAGCGAACGCTTTAACCACTAGGCTACCCCACCGCCCCTCTCAGTTTTAAGTAGACACTCGTGTAACCTTGATTCGTGGATGTACGGGAAGTGCGGCGAAAATTATATGTTAAATGTACGATGTCATTTTGTATACTCACTGATTATTTTATTCATTGATTCAGTTATCTGAAAATGCCTAATATTCCACATGTGAGTGAAACGATTGTTAACCACAGCCATTTGCAATCATCACCCATTCGTGTGCACACAAACTGTGACATCACTTTGTTTCGTGGATAACGTAGTGGGTTACAATATATCACTATGTACGACAGCCCACTATGGCGACGAGATGTGAGAAGGTTGGTGGTGTCAGTATCTTTTTTACTTGACATTTTGTAAAAATTAAAATTTGGTATTAGTGGCATTAGTGATCTTGGGCTATTTATCTCACTAATTCTCAGTGCTGGACAATTAGATTTAGTGTACTTACGTGTAATGCAGAGATTCGGAACATTTTGTCAGCGAGGCGTGGCACTGTGTGTACATCAAAAGTACCGCTTTATGACGTCATACGAGACTTATTTACAAGATAGAATGATAATTACTGAGAGCAACGAATCAAGGTTATCAACGAATTTTAGTTACGGTTCTGTATTAATTTTCGGATTCTTGTTTCTCAATCACAGTTGATTTTATCAGGTAGGGGTAACCTACCGATTGGCCTATAATAGGCCAAATGGGATCCGTTCTGCCCATTTTGCTATAGGCCGATTGGCCTATAATTATGATATTTATCAAATAAATTTTAAGTGATGCATTTCCGCATGAGGATATTGACATCATTCAAGTTTTGATGTCCTAAGATTTTCATTCAAACCCTTTTGAGCATTTTCATCACATAATAAAGGAGTTTGGAAATTGCTAATTAAATATAAGTCTAAAACATTTTTGACAATTTTCACTGAAAATTAATGACATAGATAGTTTTTGTTTTCAAAATGAAAATCTGTGCAAATTGTGTTCTTAAATGAAACATCTTTGCCTGAACATGATACACGTTTCCATTTTGTCCAAAAATTATTTTTTTTCAAGCTGAGGAGGTCCATAACTATTCATCTCTATGATCATATAAAACCATTTTATGTGGAAATTGATAGTTTGTGAAATACTATTAATAATGGTCAAATATAGCCCGATCGGCCTATAGCAAAAGAGGCAGAACAGCCTCCCAGATAGCAAAGGTGTGTTGGGCAAATGTTGGTATATGGTTGGTTGGTTGGCCAACAGTCTGACATTGACAACATTGGCCCAACGCTATCTTAATGACTTAAAAGCAACAGTGGCTTTGGACACATTGGTCCAACAGTGGGCCAACATTTGAAAAACTATGCCTATTTTTCCTGATCTTACATTTATTTCATGAAGTTGAGCCAACCAGGGGTGGAAATAACCCATTGCCCGACGTCCGAGTCCAGTGTTTTTTACTGCCGGGCAAGCAAATTTGTATATCATGCTGTACCGGGGTCCAGTTGACTTTCCAATGTTAATAATGTTGTTTATTTAAAAAATCAACAAGAAAACGGCCGGTATAGTGGAAAACTTATCAGGGCAAGTGATTTTACATGTGCCACTGTACCGGAGTACACTAGCAATTTTAAAGTTATTTCCACTCCTGCCAACGTTGGCCCAACATTGTAAAAAAAAAAGAGAGAGCACACAGCCATTTTTAGCCATGTTTTCGTATTAAGATTTTGATGAAAGTTGAAATAATTACACAGACAAAATGAAACAATCTATTTTACTGTTTTTTAACTATGATGTAGTGAATTTTACAGCGTTGTTTTCTCCAAATTAAATACCAAACTTGTCATCATCGATAGCTTTACCTGATATTCAAAGAGCAGATGACACTACATTTCTGGAGGCCTTCAACTGGTAAATATGCATTGTTATTTCTGTGAAGCTGAATTGTGAATATATTGTGAAATAATTGGTTTAAATGATCATTTAGGTTAAAGAAACTGACACATACTGTATTGAAAGGCAATTGATTGAGTAGATAAAAGATTTAATTGACTTTTTTCTTTAGGTAGCCTGTTTTAACCACTTTGATGAATCTCATTAATGATTTTATTTTCAATTATTTAAATTTATTGTGTTTACTTTATTAACATTATGTGTTTGTCAGTTACACTTCTGTTTCCATATACAACTCTCTCTGTTATTCATCTTTACAACCAATAATTGCTAAACATCATCATACCAGATATATGTGTCCCAGTTATAGTAGTTACACGTCATAGCCAACTAAAACATTGTTTGATCGGCATTCTAGAAGTTGGTGAGTCAAAAATGAAACATACAACTTTATGGATGACAACTTAATGTTTATTGTATAGAGCGACATTTCGATGTAGATTCACAAGGAGGGAGTGGGGATGGGGTGGTGGTGGTGGAGTTAAGTTGTAACAACAACCTGATAGGGTGATTTGATAGAGTCTATAGTTTGATTACTTCTTCATATCCCAATGGTATGTAGTATCCTTGGTCTCTATTGATCAAAGGTTTGTGGCGGCTGATTTCGATTGCTTCAAAAAGTTTTCTTTTTTGTGAAGTCCTGATTTTAGGTGAATAAGATAAGATTTCGAATTTGTCAAACCACCTCCCTAAAACTAAGTCTGGCGTCATCTCAACCCTTATCAAACACACTTAGAACATTTGCTCCAGCAGCCATGCCCTAGAACATGTGCTGAACCACCTACAACAAGTCTTCACGAGCCTCAACCAGTAACCTACCAACTCATAGTCTGTTCAATTTCATTTGAGACCAATAAATTGCTCACGAACACAAAATCTAATAATTGCAACAAAACCAAATTTTGCAGTCACATGAAAACGACAGACCAACTCTGACAGCCAGGGCCCCATTTCACAAAGCTCTTGTGAGCCTAAGATCCAGTAACTTTTCTCGTAGCATTCGTACCTTTTATACTGTAACTGTAATAGTCGTAGCGCTACGAGAGTTTTTTGAAACGGGGCACAGGTGCGCGCGTTGCACGTGTGCAATTAAAATTTCACTACACACGCTTGTTGATTACCTGGCTGTTCTACCAGCAAGTGGTCCTCCCTTGTAAGAAATAGCGAAAAGTGACAACAAAATAATGACCATTTCTTTAACAACTTTTTTATTCGGGTGTCCAAAATTATGAGAAAAATCAGAGTTGGTCTGTCGTTTTTATGTGACTGTGCAAAATTTGGTTTTGTTGCAATTAGAGTGGAAGCTGTCTAAACCGGCCCTGGTCGGGACTGAATAAATAATCCGGTTTTGACATTGTGCCGGAATGTAGAGCTGACATGGTTACCTACGACTAGAACTAAACCAGTTTTATCACTCTCATATACATTGTTGTATAACGTGGTTCTCTCACCCATACTGAACTAAGTTTAAATTATCTTTGTTGGCATCCTTGTAGTTTCAACACAGGATTACTGACTCCTTGCCACGAGCCGGATTAGACAGCGCTGATTACTGTATAAACACATATTCGGGCGGCTCATTTCATGCTGAGATCCGGAATTGACAGCTGCCGGATTGCAGAGCTTTTAATGATGATAAATGTACTACCTATGGACGGGACTGAGCTTTTATGCCGATGTTGACAACATGCCGGATTGGATAGCTGCCGGTCTTGACAGCTTCTACTGTATTAGATTTTATGTTAGTGAGCAATTCATCGATCTCAAATGAAATCAAACGGACTATAGTCAAGAAGACCATCTCCACCACCCTCCACACAAACCCAAACTGACCATGCCTGAATCTGCCCCCATCAGAATCACAGTACCCTATATCAGAACCTCCCAGCATAACATAACGTCAAATACTATGTCCTTTTACGATAGATCTCATGTCTAAAATTATGATATCTGACAGTTTCATGAAATTTTTGTGTTTTCTTTTCAGGAGCAGTTCGAAAAAAAACTCACAGCGGCGACTGCCGAAAGACCTAAGACAAGAATATTTTCAAGAAATACAATATTGTTCAAATAACTAGGAAAAAAAGAGAATTAAACCGTTCACTTGATTAACTTGTTGTGTTGTTTATATATGTTTCTGATTGCAAATGTCAGGAAAGAGCTAAATGTTGAAATACAGTTGTGCCAACATAAGGCCAACTAAATCACATCATTGGGCCAAGTATAGGCCATGGGTTAGTACAATTTACAAAGGTTAAGAAACTGCTAAATGTTGCAACACGGTAGTGCCAACACAACGCCAACAAAATCACTACGTTGGGTCAGCTATGGGCCATGGTTTAGTGTGAATTTTCATTCGCTTGCCCAACAATGAGCCAACATGATGGGCCACTGTGGAGCCGATGAGCATATCCAAGTGGGCCCATCGTCAGTTTGACAACCATGGGCCAATCCAACCGGTGATTATGGGCCAACTATTGGCCAACATATCAATGCTATCTGGCTATAATATCCCGTTCGGACTTTTATAGGCCGATCGGTAGGTTTCCCCAACTGTTTATATTGACAATAATCTGAATCTGTTGAGAAAATGTACTTTGGGCATTACCGCGGAGCTGACTATGTTCCTCTTCATACATGTCTCCCCTCATAAAATGGAATGTCTTTCAGTAAGTAGACAATGGACACGAGTCGACATGAACAGAACCAAATCGAAATTGTTAACACCCGTGAAACTCAAGATTCTTTGAGAGCGAGTCTGCTCATGCAAAACACACAGAGAATTTGGAGTAGCAAATGCACTTGTTAGGATTGATTTAAATATAACCTAGTAACTTGTTCTGCAGACACAATCTGTAATCTGTGATTTCACACAAACGAAAACAATAAACATATTCTCTCACCGTTTCAATCGACATTGTTTTCCTCTTTCCCGCAAAATCTCTTCTTTGAAGAGTGTCAACAGGGGCGGCTACTCTGTTTCTTGATATATTTTGAAACACTCGTAAAATATCGTAAACTCGTTGATAGAAATCAACTTACACGTCATCCTCTATAATCTAACGTATACCCTGGAAATTATCGAGGATGCTTACATATAAGACTAATAAGTTGTTGGTTGTTAGGCTCATACAAACTAACCCAGCGTATCCGTGCCTCCAGTGTTTTCTTTAGCAAATGTTGGTCACATATTTGGGCTCAGATCCTTGCCCAGTCCTTGCCGCAATCATGAGCGTTTTGACAAATAATTTTGCTGTGGCATTACAACGTGTATTCACTCGCTGTAGTCAGTCATGGACACTAAACGTAATTATTAACTGAAATTCCTACTGAAAATTATCGATCTATACCGCCTCCGTAGTGTAGTGGCTCGAGAACATGCGCGGAGAGCAGTACTGTAGGTCGGAGGTCGCCCGTCGCGCCATGCTGTACCTAAACCTGTAAAAAAAATGGTAATTGTTATTACCTTGCCTGGCGCTCGGCGTTGAAGGGAATATAAGGTCGACTGGGATTAGTATATTGAGCCTTAGTGGTAGCTTTGTCCTGATGGAAGAGCATATATTCCTTTCTGCCCATTGTCTTGGTCATAATTTCAGCCCGAATTTGCCCCAAACGTGCAGCGCAATACCAGAGACCATATAATAGAGGGTCTATGGTCTCTGGCAATACCAATGTGCTCGTTTATTGCATTGCCTTTAGGAAGATAGGTTATCATGGTGACACCCTCGGCACACATGACCGGTGACCTTGTCATTCGCAGATCGGTCATCACAATTTCGAGACGTCTCGGAACCATTTCTGGCATTGAGACGTCATGCCTGTCAGTTATAATTACGAGACATCATGCCTGTCAGCTTTACGATGCCTGGTGTGGTGGAAATGTCACCCTTCTCCAGTGTCTATGCTCTATATCATCACTGTTGGTGCTCATTCCCTTTTCCGCCAAAGGTGTGTGTGTGTGTGTGTCTCTCTCTCTCTCTCTCTCTCTCTCTCTCTCTCTCTCTCTCTCTCTCTCTCTCTCTCTCTCTCTCTCTCTCTCTCTCTCTCTCTCTCTCTCTCTCTCTCTCTCTCTCTCTCTCTCTCTCTCTGTGTGTGTGTGTGTGTGAGAGAGAGTTTCGATTGCCCACTTGTGTACAATGTGTAAAACCCATTTCTGGTGTCCCCACCGTGATATTGCTTAAATAATAATGAAAGCGGCGTAAAACTAACCTCACTCACTCTGATAACTGTACGTTACCGAGGTGTGTAAGTTTCCCAAACACTATGATCACAGACATGATTCTTATTGACGGAGAAACTATTGGGTCAATTAAATCAATGTCCAAATAACAGTTTCTTCAGACCTTATCAGCCAGCCTCCGTACTTCGTCCCCAGATGATAATCGATTTCAATGTATGCTCTATACACAGTAGCATGCTGTGCAGTTCTAACATATCAGGTCGTCATGAATGAGTGAGTGAGTTTAGTTTTACGCCGCACTCAGCAGTATTCCAGCTAAATGGCGGCGGTCTGTAAATAATCGATTCTGGATCAGACAATCCAGTGATCAACAGCATGAGCAGCTATCTACGCAATTGGGAACCGATGACACGTGTCAACCAAGTCAGCGAGCCTCTTACCATAAACATGGTTTGTTGAAGATCAATTCTAACCTGGATCTACACGGATCATGAATGAGTGAACGTGTTAAACGGTAAACCTTAGTAGGAATCCGATGCCATTCATATGTCATTAAAGATAAGCCCTGCGTGGTGAGTAAGTGGGTAAGACTTATCGCCGCTTTTAGCAATATTCCAGCAATATCACGGCAGTGGACACTAGATATGGGCTTCACACATTGTACCCATGTGGGGAATCGAACCCGGGTTTTCGGCGTACCGATCGAACGCTGTAACCACTAGCCTCCCCCACCGCCCTCCCCTGAATGGTGACATATGAGTCACACATTACAAAATTGTACAGTATTGTAGTTTGTTTACGATTATATATATATAATCACCTCCATGGCACATTTGTAACCACAATAGCGATGACGCACAGGAGCTATATTTTTTCCTAATTCATGATAGGTAAAGACAAATATTACATATTTTGTTTAAGCTGCAATGCCAGATGGACCCAGCAAAATCATAAACTTTAGATTAATATTCCGAAGTGAGAATTACAACACTGATGAGAATAACGCCACAGGTTTTGTTTCCTGAAGCTGAGCTTCCGTCTGAGCCCGGGGGCTGACACAGATGTGGACTGTCCTGACGTGGTCTGTCCTGAAGTGACTCAGGGGCAACGGCAGCCGCCACAGACGCAGCACCTCCTACGTCATCACCGGTACCGATGTTATCGTAGGTGTAATGGCCTCAACTAACATATCATTACGCTGACCCGTGTCAGTCAAGGTGCAATTTGAGTCAACCAGTGTCAGTCAAGGTGCAATTTTGAGTCAACCAGTGTCAATCAAGGATAACTTGAATTAACCAGTGTCAATCAAATTTAACTTGAGTTAACCAGTGTCAGTCAAGGATAACTTGAGTAAACCAGTGTCCACCAACTTGAGTTAACCAGTGTCAGTCAAGGATAACTTAAGTTAACCAGTGTCCACCAACTTGAGTTAACCAGTGTCCACCAACTTGAGTTAACCAGTGTCAATCAAAGGTAGCTTGAGTTAACCAGTGTCAATCAAATTTAACTTGAGTTAACCAGTGTCAGTCAAGGATAACTTGAGTTAACCAGTGTCCACCAACTTGAGTTAACCAGTGTCAGTCAAGGATAACTTGAGTTAACCAGTGTCCACCAACTTGATGTAACCTTTGTCAGTCAAGGATAACTTGAGTTAACCAGTGTCCACCAACTTGAGTTAACCAGTGTCCACCAACTTGAGTTAACCAGTGTCAGCCAAGGATTACATGGGCCAACCACCTTCAACCAAGGTATCTTGAGTCAACCAGTCTCAATCAAAGGTAACTTCAGTTAACCAGTTTCAGTCAAGGATAACTTGAGTCAACCCGTTTCAATAAAGGAAAACTTGAGTTAACCAGTGTCAGCCAAGGTTAATTTGAGTTAACCAATTTCAACCAAGGTTAATGTAAGTGAGTACTCGAAACAAACTGCATAAATTACAACCTCGTGCCTTTTACGAACACACGGTGTCATCACTGATAGTGATTTAATAATACACGTTGGAGATAAAGTCAGAATCGGGCAGTTTAGTCCGCTTTAAGACGGAAAAGGTGTCGCTGCTTTCATTATTTCAACCCTCAACGATATTTATTTGCCTTTAAAAGTAACTTTCCGCAATTTTCATCTAATCCTAAATTCGTTTACAGGCTAAGAGTAGTACAGTTGTCTGGCTGACTAGGATCTACTGCTGGAATGCTAGTGCACCCTTATCTAGCTGAAGCCAGTATTGTCCAGCTGTCTATATACCCATAGGGCTCTTGTAGTTTTTAACTCAGTTGCACTTCCACCCAAGCAATGACGTGGGTAGTGGCTCTGTGTCTGGGGCTGTTGTTGCCCCTGGGACACTCCAAGACAGTCCACATCTATGTCAGCCCCAAGGGATCAGACGGGAACTCGGGGTAAGAGCTTGGTTCTGGAGGGATGATTATCTGCTAAATGTTGTTCGAAATGCCGAACTATACCATTAAAAAAAAGTAGGGGATATCGGATTTACAAGATTCATAAAATGCAAATGATGAAGCCAAGGAGGAAACAGATGATGAAGAGAAATTAAGGGAAAATGTCACAATTTATTCCATCCATTTGGAAATGTTTCATCTGTATGGATGTATAATACTATTTCTCATATGCATTGGCATTGGCTAGTGGTATGCTCGCAAAATGGAATATCCCCTACTTTTATTTGAATGGTATTATATTGAATGATGAACACCGTGGTCACAAGAAATGAACAAGGTCAATTGATACACTTTACAACGTTGTACACTATGCACACACTATCCCAAATAAGCTTAACTAAAACCTTTATTCCGTCGTTCATGGAACATTTGTTACGTGGCTAGCATAGCGAGTGAATGAGTTAAGTGTTTACGCCGCTGTTTACGAAAAAAAATTGCTACCTATTACAATGAACAGAGGTGTTATCACATGTATCCCCAAACCGGTTAAACCTAATAAAAATAGGAAATACCTTAAAAACTGGAGACCTATTTCTCTCCTGAACTCGGTGTATAAAATAATCAGTACATGTTTAACTAACAGAATAAAGAAAACTCTTCCTCATCTTATCCACACCAAACCAAACAGGTTTCATGCCAGGTAGATGTATCAGTGGCAACATTAGGTTGCTATATGATATAATGTTTGAACTTAAGGAGATTAATAAACGCGGAATGTTACTCCCCATAGACTTTGAAAAAGCCTTTGATACTGTCTCTAAAGACTTGTATTATGCTGGTTTTGGATCAAACTTTAGAAAATGGATCTCAGTCTTATCCAAAAATTCTAGCTCTTATATTGTACAAAATGGACACATGTCTTCATCTTTTATAAATGAACAAGGCTGTAGACAAGGTGACCCACTATCACCCTATTTATTTTTATTTGTAGCTGAAATTCTAGGTAATATGATCCGACAAAATAAAGACATCAAAGGTATATTACTAAGTGACCAAGAGTATAACCTAGGCCAATATGCTGATGATACTCAAGTTTTTCTTGATGGCTCCAAGGCTAGTCTGAAGGCAGCTATGGAAACAATGAATAAATTTTATCAAATGTCTGGACTCAAAATGAACATTAAAAAGACTAAAACTATCTGGATTGGTTCTATGGCAGGTAACAGGTTAAAGTTATGTGAAAACCTTGACCTTGATTGGCACGCTGGCAACTTTGAAATCCTTGGCATTACACTAAATCCAAATTTGCAAGACCTCTGGGTGATAAATACAAAAAAGCGAATGGAAACAATAAATAGAATCTTGGCTTCATGGAAGCATAGATCATCAACTCTAATTGGAAAAATAACTGTGATTAAGACTTTAGCCCTCTCTACCTTAGTACATATTTTCTCTTCTCTTCTGAATCCCACCCCCCCCCAAAAAAAAACAACAACAACATTTATTAAGGACTTAAACAGAACTTTTTCAAGTTTTTATGGAATGGGAAACCAGATAAGATAAAAAGAACCTGTATAGGATATATGAAGAAGGCGGTCTCAGAATGATTGATATTAATGCATTTATTCAAGCCTTGAGGTTATCACATTTAAGAAGATGTATTCAAAGTCCTAATTTCAAGAACCCAAGTTACTTTCCTATAGATGAAATATTCACAATAGGTGCCAATGTTGATACTCATATTCACTGTATGAAGCCTTATTGGCAAAGTGTTTTGAAGGCTTGGGCAAACTATGTAAGACTAGAAAAAGAAATTTCTCCTAATATTAACGATATTGTGTCCCAACCCCTATTGCTCAATCATCATATTAAATATATAACCTTTCTGATCAAACAATGGTATAGTAAAGGAATTATTTTGTAAAAGACATATGTAGCGACAGCGGTCTAATGACTTTCGCTGAACTGAAGAATGGTTTTGATATTAGCGGCATGTTTTTAAATTATCATAAATTACTATGCTGCATTCCTCCTAATTGTAAAAATTGTATCAATGACCAAACATGTATCAATAATTCAAATGTGGTGATAAGTACTAAGCTAACAGACTTTCTCAAACCTGGTAAGGGTTCTAGATTTTTCTATGATAACATTATTGCTTGTGACGAGTTTCCACCTATGTGTAACAAATGGGTTGAAAACTTCAATGTGGTTTTTCCTCCCTTGAAGATATATTTCGTCATTATAGGTATTGCACCAAAGATGTAAAACTACTAGAATTCCAATTTAAATTCTTACATCACATAATCTACACCAAAAAGGAACTAAAACAGATAAAACTAGTGAACGAGGATATTTGCTCCTTTTGTAAAACTAATAGTGAAAGCTTATCACATGTTTTTCTAGAATGTGAGCATGTCAAAGAATTCTGCAGTGGTTGAGTGTGGAATTCTACTTGAACTCTTTTCTCAATGAAGAAATAAATGTGGCCGCCTGTGCTATTCATTTTTGTTTCCCAGCCAAATTTAAGTTTATTAACCACTTTCTCTTGTTATGTAAAAGACATGTTTTCTTAAGTAGTCTTAAAAGTACAACCATTTCAGTTGAAACAGTAATAAAAACTTTCAAACAGATATATATATACTTTATTGAAAATATTTTCGGTGTTCGGTGTGACGAGCTACCACTAGGCTACCCACCTGGGCAGCATACAGGATAGCTACATCTCTGTCTTTAGAGGTGCATGTCAATTTGTCAAAACTGAGAGTAATTACTGTCTGATGTTTACTGAGTAAACATGTGAGATCAACGATGACTTTCTCAACGATAGCATTTCTTCTATTCACACAGTGAAACGTTACCAATAATTTACAATATCGATCCGGTTTCAAATGTGGATTTAAGATTTAGAGTAATAGATTTAAACTGCAGCTTTAAGAAGTTATGTATAATTAGGGGCCTTGGTTTGGACAGGGTATATATACGGATGTTAAAAACACAATTTACTGCTGTTTCCGGAGACTGCATACAAATCATGTGCTTACACCAATCAATCAATCAATCATTCATTCATTCATTCAATCAATCAATCAATCAATACATGTGCTTACATTATCACCATTGTATTACTGTTCATACAAGACTGATATAGTTACACCTTTGTACTGGATGCTGAATATGTAAATGGTTGGATTCCAGGACAAAGTGTCAGAAAACCACCAAAGTTCTTCGGGTTTAAACGTTCACTTTAGCCGAGGTGTGTTTGTTCGTTGTCTGATAAGATAAGGTATCCAAATACTGGAACAGAACCAAAATACTTGGAACGTGGGATGACTTACATCTTGAATTGTTATGATGCCATTTCAAACAGCGAGTAACATGGACCGTTCATCCTTCCCAGGTTGGATGTCTCCCATCCGGTCGCCACCCTGGACAAGGCCAGACAGTTACTGGACAGCAGTGGCATCAAGGGCAACAGTGAGTAGGTTCTGCAGCTCACCTTTCGGAATGTTTGTTTCAAAGTTTTGCATGAATAAACTAATTTACCTTATTGACAAGTTGTAAAATTTTTTTTTTTAATGAAATCTGAAATATAAGAGAATGACACAAATTCATTCAATAATATATTTGATTTTAATGTTTTCTTGCTTACTTCCGCTGTCAGCGGTGTACGTGGAGCTGATGGGAGGCTACCACAACCTGCACTCCACCCTACACTTCACCCACGCCTACACCCAGCCGGTCACCTTCAGAGCTTATAAGGACCAGGAGGTCCACGTGGTAAGTGGGGACACACGAGGTGACTGGGGAGGTCCACGTGGTGAGTGGGGAGGTCCACGTGATGAGTGGGGACACACGAGGTGACTGGGGAGGTCCACGTGGTGAGTGGGGACACACGAGGTGACTGGGGAGGTCCACGAGGTTACAGGGGAGGTCCACGTGGTGAGTGGGGACACACGAGGTGACTGGGGAGGTCCACGTGGTGAGTGGGGAGGTCCACGTGGTGAGTGGGGAGGTCCACGTGGTGAGTGGGGACACACGAGGTGACTGGGGAGGTCCACTTGGTGAGTGGGGAGGTCCACGTGGTGAGTGGGGACACACGAGGTGACAGGGGAGGTCCACGTGGTGGGTGGGGACACGCGAGGTGAGGATGACTGGGGAGGTCCACGTGGTGTGTGGGGACGCACGAGATGACTGGGGAGGTCCACGTGGTGAGTGGGGAGGTCCACGTGGTGAGTGGGAGGTCCACGTGGTGAGTGGGGACACACGAGGTGACTGGGGAGGTCCACTTGGTGAGTGGGGAGGTCCACGTGGTGAGTGGGGACACACGAGGTGACAGGGGAGGTCCACGTGGTATGGTGGGGACACGCGAGATGACTGGGGAGGTCCACGTGGTGTGTGGGGACGCACGAGATGACTGGGGAGGTCCACGTGGTGAGTGGGGATACACGAGGTGAGTGGGGAGGTCCACTTGGCGAGTGGGGACACACGAGATGACTGGGAAGGTCCACGTGGTGAGTGGTGAGGTCCACGTGGGGAGTGGAGAAGTCCACGAGGTAAATAGGGAGGTCCACCTGTGGGGAGGTCCACGTGGTGAGTGGGGAGGTCCACATGGTGACTGGAGAGGTCCACGTGGTGAATAGGGAGGTCCACCTGTGGTGGGTCCACCATGTGGTGAGGGGAGGAGGTCCATCTGGTGAGTGTAAAACATGTGAGAGAGGTCCACGTGGTGAATGGGCAGGTCCACGTGGTGAGTGGATAGGTCCACGTGGTGAGTGTGGAGGTCCACGTTGTGAGTGGGAAGGTCCACGTTGTGAGTGGGGAGGACCACGTGGTGAGTGGGGAGGTCCACGTGGTGAGTAGGGAGGTCCACGTGGTGAGTGGAGAGGTCCACGTGGTGAGTGTGAACACATGTGAGTGGAGAGGTCCACGTGGTGAGTGTGAACACACGTGGTGAGTGGGGAGGTCCACGTGGTGAGATGAACTTTGTGAGCGGAGATGTTTGAGAAATGACTACCTCAGTACTCTACTACTCCAAACAGTTCATACCCTGTATCTTCAGTGGGAAGGTATCTTCATTTAAGTGGAACTTAAAATTTAACCGTTTTGTTCATGACGAAATGCAATAAAATAATTTCAAGCTTTTGTAAAATTTTGTATAACAATATTCTTCTATTATGTTATTACCAGACAGGAGGCAAGCAGATCCCCGCAAACCTGTTCACCCACGTGACAGACAGCAGTGTGCTGAACGTACTACCACCAAGTTCAAGATCAAAGGTTGTACCAACATGCTCTCGTTTTTGAGTGAATGAGTGAATATAGTTTTACGCCGCTTTTAGCAATAATCCAGCAATATCACTTCGGGGGATACCAGAAATTGACTTTAAACTTGTCGCTTTTGAATAATTATTGTATATGTTTGATCACGATTGCATATTGAACACATTTTACTGATACAAGACTGACTGACTGAGTTTAGTTTTACGCCGCTTTTAGCAATATTCCAGCAACATCACGGCTGGGGACACCAGAAATGGGCTTAACACATTGTGTCCATGTGGGGAATTCGAACCCGGGTCTTCGACGTGACGAGCCAACGCTTTAACCACTAGGCTACCCCACCGCCCCTTACTGATACAAGAACACATTAACTATCGTGAACTCTACTCTAGTATTGAAACACCTCGTTGATGTCAAATGTAGCAAACATTGAGATGGAGATAAAAGGTTGAAATCACGTTGGAAAGTAGGTTTAAACATCTGTCAATCTTGCGCTCACTATATGCAATGGAAGCCCAGAAATGTCAGCTCAGAAGATGCAGCATGCAGGAGTATGGGAGTCTGTTCCTGCGTTGTAGGTGTTGCAGCTACACCTCCCTAGTGCCGGCGTCACAGATTACGGCACGATGTCTAAGTTCGGCTTCTACGTGTCCAGGACGTCATGGTTGGAGATCTTCATCAACGGGCTACCAGCTAGACTGGCCCAGTACCCCAATGAGGTAGGAAAGCAGGGCCAGACAATCCAGTGTTTGACATCATCAGCGGCGTTGATCTAACTGGGATACGATGAAATGCATCAATCAAGTTAGCAAACCCGACCATCTGATCCCGTTAGTCGTCTCTTAGTCGTTAGTCGTCTGCGTTGATGAATCCTTAGAACTATTTGTTTGTTTGTTGTTTAACGCCGCACTCAGCAATATTTTAGCTATATGACGGCGGTCTGTATATAATCGCATCTAGACAAGGCAATCCAGTGAGTGATATCAGGAGCATCAATCTACGCAATTACGATGACATGTGTCAACCAAGTCAGCGAGTCTGACCACCCCGATCCCGGGTAACTGAAGATCAATTCTAACCTTGGTCTTCATGGGTAAAGACCTTTACAATGTGCCTTTGGAAGCAGTGTGTACTAATTTGTCGAGGTAACATGCTAGGATTCTCAGGGAACTGTTTCCGCTTCCGTCCTTTTCATATCTGTGAGACGTTGTCAGTCAGTTCAATATACCGATTCACTTTTACGCTGATGGCGTATCTACACTCCTCTGGTAGCCACAGCTTCCTGCTGAGAGGACAGGGAGACAGGCATCTCCGCTCTGAGAGTAACTCGTTGAAACCGGATAATGCTTTAGACACAGAGCATTAACACTTCCAGTTGCCCTCCGAATAGCCTCAATTAAAACGCTAGTGTACATAGAAGTGTGTGTTGTTAGCTTTTTGAGCATGCAGTGTTGCCTGGCATTTTATTGCACATTATACACAAATCTTATTATTGCAGAAATTCTTGAATCTGGTCAGTGTACCTGGCGGGAGACGTAGCAGGGTGTTCACCTACAACTCGAAAGAAGACGCCAGATGGGTGAACGAGAAAGAGCCATGGGCTTACGGATTCTGGTAACAGTGAACATGACTTTCACAACCTCAAAATACTTTTTACTGAAAACTATAACAATGTGTTTTGAACTCATGAGTACTTTTAAAAAAGAAAACTAACATGGGTTTATCAGTTTATTAACATAATGAATATGACTGATAGAAGCAGAACAATGTGGCTAAACATATGCCATAGGAGACGGGGCGGTGGGGTGGACTAGTGGTTAAAGCGTTGGCTCGTCATGCCGAAGACCCGGGTTCGATTCACCACATGGGTACAATGTTTGAAGCCCATTTGTGGTGTCCCCTGCCGTGATATTGCTGGAATATTGCTAAAAGCGACGTAAAACTAAACTCACTGACTACACAGGAGACAATACGAGAGACTAAAATGTCAGAATCTTGTGTTTCCGCCAAGTGTGGAGGCAATGATATCCTCAAGGACGCGTTGAGGAAGGTTTTGCAACTCTTGCTGAACTGCAACAAGCAGTGCTGTGGTTCCAAAGCATTTCACAGATGCTCCCAGGGACAATGCAATCGGGGACAAATCAAGTCCATGGTAACATATGGAAGGATGGTCTAAGAATGTTCAATGCTGTCTGTGCAGGTATTTTAGCTGGGCGGACGATGGTGTAGGGATCAGCAACATTGACATCAACAAACACCAGATCACCCTGGCAAACGACACCAACTATGGCCTTAGAATAGGTTAGTAGAGCTAAGTACCATCTGTATTTGTTTGTATGGAAGTTGTTTATTTGTCTCCACGGGATGCAATTGATACGCTCATTGACTCGGGTCGGAAATATGCTTGTTAATGGTATACATGTAAAAGTAAATGTTGTTGGACATTTTTCTCTCGATGAAGTTGAATATCCTTTTAATCCCATTTTAGTAGAATAGTGGTGGATGTCAGCAACTCGGAAGATAACACGTTCATATGGTGTCCAAAAGTCACTGCAAAATTTTGAAGTAAATTATACATTGAGCAGGTAGATTACTTTGAAATTTCATAATGAGCCCTATTTATTGCAGTTATATGGTATTTGACCCACCAATACGAGATCCGTAAATAGTATGGCGATTCACATTTGTTCCGTTGTGTCCAGGTCATTACAACCCGGCTCATCTCGCCTATGCTGACAATCAGGGTGGCTACTTCCGGGTTATCAACATGCTATCTGAGCTGGATCAGCCGGTGAGAGGAACTCCCTCCCTCCTCTCCCCACTATTTTCTCCTTTCCCTCCCTTTTCTTCCGTCTCCTCCTCTACCCATTCTCTCCTTTCCCTTCTCATCCAGTACTTCTTTCTTCTTCACTAACGGGATCGGATGGTCAGGCTCGCTGACATGGTTGACACATGTCAAAGGTTCCCAATTGCGCAGATCGATGCTCATGCTGTTCAGACTCGATTATTTACAGACCGCCGCCATATAGCTGGGATATTGCTGAGTGCGGCGTAAAACTAAACTCACTCACTAACTTCTTTCTTCTCTCTCTCATTAATTTAGGCCGATTCATCTCCTCTCTACCATCTTCTTCCTTTCGTTTTCTTCACCTTATCTTTCACCACCCTTTTGCCTTTCTCCTCCTTCACCTGTTCTTTCTTCTCCATCAAATCCCTCCAAATGCCTAAATTTCACACTGCTTACGTACCTAAAATCTTAAGGAAATGATGCCATATGATGCGATAGATTAACGTTTCTATTATCACTGGTCGTTTGGATGCAATTGTCGCTGCATCACTTCCATGTTTTCCCGATACAAAAAATACTTTTTGCAGCTACCAAGTGAATATCCTCAATCGATTTCTACTGTCATGTCGCCGTTATGCCCTTCTCTATCTTCCTCTTCATCTCCCTTCTGCCCTTTTCCCCTCCCGTTCACTACCTCCGCATCTTGTTAATTTTTCCTCTGTTCCTTTTCTCACTTCCCCCTGCTTCTTTCTTTCCTCCCTCGACTTCCTGTTCTACGTCTTTCTCCTGTCCTTCACGCCCCCTTCTTCTTATCCTCGCCTGTCCCCCTTCTCCTTCGCCTGTCCCTTCTTCTCCATCTCCGGCTGCTTGCCCATATCTCGAATACATCCATGGAGACCCTGTACATATCCCTTCCAAAACCTGCGGAAATGAGGGGCTGTTCCAGACGATGGCTATTATTTCCCATCATGTTTCACCTGCCAGTTTGGAGGCTGTTCACTCTGCAGCACCAAGTGATTTTCCCCAATCCATATTATTACTACTGTTTTGTCCTCAGTTAATATCCCGCGTTACCTTCTCTACAGGGAGAGTACTATCTAGACCGATCCAGCGGCAACCTATACATCTGGCCCAACACGCAGACGGGCACCTTGTCCTCCTCTGACGTCATCACGGTGTCTCTGATCAACGACTGCATCAGGTACTTGTCTTTGTCTCACGCCACAATCGTTAACTCGTAAGTATAAGTGATAGACAACGGAATCCTTCAGCAGACCTGGCGTGTCCCCACCTTCATTGGATGCCAACAGCTCCCTGTCAACACGCCAGACAGTCTTCTTCAAGAGCATATGAATGACACCTCGTCAAAAAGCTATGAAGTGAGGTGGCAAATGCCGTATATTTTGAAGGTATACTTCGGTAAGCATCTTTGCTGGGTTGTAAACTGGTTTTTACTGTACATCACAGTAAGTAATCATGTCCGTAGACCAATGTAATACCTTGCCTTATTGTTCCAATGAAAATATCATTTATAGCTTTACTTTCAAAGTAATGATGTCCTTTGCACACACCAGTAATGTAGTAAATTTGTTGATGAAACTTTGAATTGGTTGAAAGGAAACGTTTTTGTCACTTTAAGCATCTATCTTCAGATTAGACTTTTGCCAAGATGCAAGATGCATGATGCATGATGCATGATTTCCTTAACGATATTTTGATTCATTATATTTGTATTTATCTGGCAGCTTGGACCGAGGAGTGAGTAACCTCAATTTTGAGGGTTTCACTTTGGAGGCGTGTCGCAAAGCTGGTATTACTGGAGCAGCTGTTCACGACATCAACATTCAAAACTTGGAAATTAGGAATTTGGGTTGGTTCTTAAAACTATTTATGTTGTGTGAAGAAAATCACTTTCTGGAGGGGATCATAATCATAAGATCAACATATTTCCTGCAAAGGCATTGCTGATATGTTTAGCTTATAGTGGCATACACCTATGGTATGAGTTTCAGTGTTTAAGGTAAGGGTATTTTATTGGTAATACTTCCTTGAAGATCTCCATGATGACACCGTCCGAACTTAGCATCTTTTTAAAAATGATTTATAATCTTTTATTTGTGTCACTTTTCACCTTTATTCTCAGGTGCTTATGGCGTTAGCCTCAGCGACAGCAACAACGTCACCGTATCCCGCTGCGACATCCACTACACTAATGGTGGTGTCAACTTGACGGGTAACGATGCAGTTTACATACTTGGATTTCCTATTGTTTAAGCATACGGTTTGTTATAACTCACGTCGACATCATCGCTGTGATCCCAGGCTATCAACCCTTCGATTGACGTGTATCCGTCCATAACAACTCACCTGTAAACAGTGTGTGAAAATATAATTTCATAATCATTCCATCGGTTCCCAATTGCGCAGATCGATGCTCATGCTGTTGATCACTGGATTGTCTGGTCCAGACTCGATTATTTACAGACCGCCGCCATATAGCTGGAATATTGCTGAGTGCGGCGTAAAACTAAACTCACTCACTCACTCATGATCATTCTGACAATGGGATTGGCTGGACTTACTAACCAACATAATATTTCATTAGCAAATGTTTGTTTTATCGAGTTAATCCTTGTGCATAGCAGGCAACAAATCAATTAACAATTAGTTAGCCAAATCAAACAACAGTTCATTAGCCAGTCAGGTTAGGACGAGGAGGTATCCTCCCATTACGCAGACAGGCAATTCGCAGACAGCCGAACATTTACGGTTCAATGAACAGATTAGCTACTACCTGTTACCTTCACATTATAATGTAATAATCCAAATAAATACACAATAAAAAAAGACTGAAGCTAAAGGACATTAACATCGGCGTTCATCCTGGTGGTCTTTGATTATCATTTATTTTTATCACAACCATTTAAAGATGTCTAATTTGATCGTTTCATTATTTTTGTAAACTGGCAGGTGGAGACCGGAAGACTTTAACACCATCTGGCAACATTGTTGAGGACAACCACATCTGGAAGTTTGGACGTGTTGGGGGCGTGGGTTACAATGCTATATTTTTCGATGGTGCCGGCAACATCGCCCGTCACAACCACATGCACGACGGCCAATACACCGGGATGTGGTTGGCGGTATGCTGAATAATCTATACTCATCAGTTTACAAATGATATATAATGCCTCGTAGTTTATTACTTTAAAACTCGCTTTATTTTGGACTTACCAAAGAAGATCATCTCACTGAGTCATTATGTGTTGTTGGTTGGTTGGTTGTTTAACGCCGAACACAGCAATATTCCAGCTATATGGCGGCGGTCTGTAAATACTTGAGTCTGGACCAGACAATCCAGTGACCAGCAGCATGAGCATCGATCTACGCAATTGGGATACGATGACATGTTCAACGTGTCAGCGAGCCTGACCACCCGATCCTGTTAGTCGCCTCTTACGACAAGAATGGGTTGCTGAGGACCATCTAACCAGGATCTTCACGGGTCTCTCATTATGTGCAAGTACAAAGTTGCTTTCATGCCTCTTGAATAGTTTTACATTTATATTACGGCGATCCAGGGTTGTGGAGCTGAACCTTGAAACAAAGTCAGTATGGCTGATTCGAACAAACAAACATATATTCCTGGTGGGCTAAAGAAACTCTTCTCAGAAATTGCAGCGCTGTAGAGAAGTGTGACAATTACTTTCATCGATTCGCATCATCATCCATAAACTTCATTTCTCTGTAATCCGAGAATACACTGGCGCTTGTGAACGTAGTTTATTCCAACCCGCGATGCCCTTCAAAGGCATTAATTAGTGAAAAATATAATGAATATATTCTATATATGTTTGGTTGGGATCATCATCATCATCATCATCATCACCATCACCATCATCATCATCACCACTATCATCATCATCATCATCACCACTATCATCATCATCATCATCACCACTATCATCATCATCATCACCACCACCACTTTCATCATCATCACCACCACCACTATCATCATCATCATCATCATCACCACCACTATCACCACCACTATCATCATCATCATCATCATCCACCACCATCTATAAACTACGACCTCTATCATCCGTGAATGCATATGGCGGTTATGAATGTAACGTATTAAAACCCGTGAAGTGTAGACTGAGGTTTCAAAGATATTATATGCTGGACTAAGGTAAGTGGTGCATGGTAGGGATCATCCAACTGACATCATATCGGCGACAAAATGCATGGCTTTTGATATAATCTCTCATTGGTGAGTCAAACTACACATTGCAAACACATAGAGGACATAATTGTTCCTTGTTTCACGTAGCCACCAAATTCTGAACATGGGTGGGTCGGTCTGGGAATACAAAAAAAGACAACATTATCTGTATAATGTTCTTCTTGATTCTCATTTATTGTAATTCTTATTACAATTTCTCGCATTTTTTGGACTTGTGGCAGCGACTGATCAAAGATAAACACTTTATATGACGAGGCGGTACGTTTTAGGTTTGAATCGGCGGTGTTGGAAATAATAAGAAGAAGATTTTGGGGGTGTCGCCAACATAATTAGAAAGGTCGATCGGGCGATGAGAAACACAGAAACTTAATATGCTGCCCTGAGTCCAAACACATGTTTTTGACAGGGTAACGACAACATCGTTGAGTACAACCACATCCACCATATGTGTGTGAACAGCACCGACTGCGGCGGGATCATTGCTGGAAGAGACTGGTCTGGAGTGAGTAGAACCGAAAATCTATTTATAGCTACAAAACATCAGCTGTTAATTCCCAAAGTGACGAGATAAACTTCATGGGTTTTGAAATGTGAGGTTTTCTGAGTACAGTATATTTACCTTGAATTGAAATTTTATCTATATGTAACCATAACGACAAAAACGCTTTGACAATGGTATTCTTTTGGAATGCATAATTCCACGTAGGTGAATAGGTCAACTGTCTTGGTATCTTCCGAAAAGTCAATCAAATTCAAGTTTAATTTACCAATTCGTTTAAAGCAATTGCTGCAAATACCTAGTTTTTGCCCAAAGAAGTGACATTTCAGATTTAATTTACCGATACTTTCAACTGGTTTTAAGTAATTGCTGCAAACTGGCTAATTTGTCCAAAACGAAGTGGTTATATGGCCATCTAAGGTACATGTGCAACCTTATCGCAATGTTTAGCTAACATTGTCTTGACTCAACTAAGTCGTTTCTTGGAAACAAATTTAGAATAAGGACGATGTCTCCTATTTTGTGGTGACAGTTCGTAAATATGGTGATAAAATCGCTGAAACTAATGAATGTCTAAGAACATTTTCTTAAATAACAACAGTTTATTTATTTTGAAGTTGAACATATGGTCCGAATGAACAATATCCCCAGTTACAATAACACTATTCATTACAACTATCCACATAGCGGTGGGGTAGCCAAGTGGTTAAAGCGTTCGCTCGTCACGCCGAAGGCCCGGGTTCGATTCCCCACATGGGTGCAATGTGTGAAGCCCATATCTGGTGTCCCCCGCCGTGATGCTGCAGGAATATTGTAATATTGTAATTGTTTCATGTCAATTCAGCGTGGCAACGTCATCCGATACAACTACATCCACAACGTGGTCAAGAACATGCCAGGGGCGGAGAACAGGGGCATCATGCTGGACGACCAGTTCTCCGGCGTCCTCATCGAACACAACGTCTTCTTTCAGGTAAACAAGCGAAGTCACAGTTGGGTATTTATCACAAGAAAATATTTAGACTTGGTCTTCAATCACTGTATTGTCGTGTCCAGACTCGAATATTTACAGACCGCTGTCATATAGCTAGAATATTGGAAAGTGCATCGTTAAACAACATACAAAAGCTATATTACTCAAAATAAGTAAAATGACACTCGATTCTTCATATTACTATAGTTAAGAAATCATGCCTCTTAATTCCTGTCGACCCGTGAAGGTCCAGGTTAGAATATTGATCTACAGTAACCATTGCTTGTCGTAAGAGGCGACTAACGGGATCGGGTGGTCAGGCTCGCTGACTTGGTTGACACATGTCATTGGTTCCCAATTGCGCAGATCGATGTTCATGCTGTTGATCACTGGATTGTCTGGTCCAGACTCGATTATTTACAGACCGCCGCTATATAGCTGGAATACTGCTGAGTGCGGCGCAAAACTAAACTCACTCACTCATAATGCCTGTCGCCACAAGTATGACATGACTCGCCTTGATTAACTAACAGATTAGCTATGACAGATTAACTGAGTAAATATCGGGAGTTCTGACACCAAAAATGACAGTGTTCGCAAGTGTTTTTAGTTGTAATTTACAGTAAACTGATTCATGAGTGAGTATGGTCTCACGGTTTCATGGTTTTAGCAACATTCCAGCATAATCACGGCGGGCGACACCAGACATTTGCTTCACACATTGTACCCATGTATGGAATCGAACCCGGGTCTTTGGTGCGACGGGCGAAAGCGTTGACCACTAAACTACCCCACGGCTCCTAATGCACGGTCACACAGAGATGTCATATTAGATGCAATCTTTGATTACCAAATATATTTTCATGACAGAATCAATACCATACCAACATTGGTGGCGGCCGTGACAACATCATACGCTACAACGTGTTCTACGACGCAGTGAACTACCCCCTCAACGTTGACGGCCGTGGTATCCTGTACGCTAGCAACAACGGGACGCTGTATGACAGACTAAGGGTAGTCATAGCATTACCCCCCAGGATCTTCTGTATCAGATTTTACCCGTGCAGATCCGGGTTAGAATTGGTCTTCGGCAACCCATACTTGTCGTAAGAGGCGACTGAACGGATCGGGTGGTCAGGCTCGCTGACTTGGTTGATGCATGTCACCGTTTTTTAATTGCGTAGATCGATGCTCATGATGTCAATCTCTGGATTGTCTGGTCCAGACTCAATTGTCTACAGAAAGACGTCATATAGTTTGAGTATTGCTAAACAACAAACACAATATCAAGCAAAAAATAAGTATGTTTCTCTGGTCAGGTTAACGGTTAAGCATGATGGTAAATCGTGCATAAATTCCCTGTGAGTTTGAACCCGTGAAGATCCTGGTGAGAATTGATCTTCAGCAACCCATGCTTGTCGCTGACTTTGTTGACACATGTCATCGTATCCCATTTGGAATATTGCTGCGTGTGGAGTTAAACCACAAACCTACCAACCAGCCCTGTGAGTTTGTGCTTGTAACAATCGGAATTAATGCGAGTTTTATTGTGCAAGCCCTCCAACATCAACTCAAACTTGCTGAAGACCCTGTTACCTGGTATATTAAGCCTTACTTTTCGAACAGATTCTGAGGTCCGGTTAACTCGATTTATATAATTGCGGAATTTGCGTAAATCCTGATGTGATGTGAAGCAATTCTGACTTCATGTTCATCTGGGGCAGTTCCAACCCTGTCACCCATTACTGGCTGATTTCAGGCTCAACCCTACAAGACCAAGCCATGGTCAGCCAGGTACCCCAAACTGGCCACCATCGACTCCAATCATCCTACCTATCCAATGGGTAAGATAGTAATCTTTAAGACCCGGTGCTGACAGACGTCATGGTAACGTTTTTGAGGATGGATATGGTGATGAATGTTGACTTAATGTTGATACAATATACATGCTTCAACATACAAGCAGACTCTTGATTACTGACGGAAAGTCACAGCGCTGACAATCCTCTTTGTAACGTTTTGAGTATGTAATTGTTGTTGATAAATTTGAAACTGAATAACCTCTTCAGGGGTAGAAACTGGGCACAATGTATTCATCTTTAGAAATTTCATGCTTCTACTCCAACATCGATACAGTTAGTGAGGGTCAGTGTTCAGGAACTAACTCAAGTATTCAGTCACGTGTTCGCACATTTTATCCCTGAAGATATGAGTCAGAATTGATCTTCAGAAACCCGTGCTTGTCGTAAGGGGTATTCAGGCTCGCTGACTTGGTTGACACATGTCATCGTATCCTGATTGCGTCGATCGATGCTCATGATATCAGTCACTGGATTTGTGGTATTAAACAATAAATAAACAAACAAACAGATCTGAGCATTCACCAGCGAAGACACCAACCCATTCATTAATTCCCTCACCATTACTGTTTCAAGGCAATCAGATCTACGACAACGTTTTCTACAACAAACGTGGGCCAAATATCGTTGAATACCATGGCACTGGCCTCAACAAGACGGAATACTACGACATTCACGATAACTTCAATGTAAGGCATTGCTTTCTCACTATTACCTTCAAATAACCTTCTTTACAATTTTGTCTTTGACATTTAATTTGTTTGCGGGGAATTTCAATGTCTGCCTATTGTGCTGTTATAAAATCTGCTTTATTGAGCATGTTTAATGACTGGTGACAGATGTGCGAAAGGACAGCTGTGAGAGTCCCTCCATAATGTCGGCTATGTTCGTTTTGTATTACAGGCCAACCCTGCTGAGTTTTGGTCTCCTCGTGAATACGACTTCCGGTTCCGGTGTTCGATAGAAACCTGGGCCAATCAAAACTCAGTTCCCCAACCCATCAATATCAATGCCGTAGGACCACGGCAACCTACAGGACCTAAATATATCCAGACAGGTACATGTATATGGCACTTGCAGGCTCGATGGTTTGAATGTCAGCTTCAACCTAACATTAATACCCTTACATTCAAAACTTGAGGGGCGGTGGGGTAGCCTAGTGGTTAAAGCGTTGGCTCGTCACGCCGAAGACCCGGGTTCGAATCCCCACATGGGTACAATCTGTAAAACCCATTTCTGGTGTCCCGCGCCGTGATGTTGCTGGAATATTGCTAAAAGCGGCGTAAAACCAAACTCAGTCAGTCAAAACTTGCACAACTAGGTAGCCTAGAAGGTTAAATCAGAGAAAGACCAGTTTATGCTTATGATAGATTAACTGGTAGCAAAACAGGTTTAAATGTGTTCATGATCTCAGAGGGTACAAGGTGAAATTGCTCTACGGCGAGACTGAATTGGGGAGGTAGCAATCTTGTTCATCTGTTATCTTACAGCTCTACCACAATATCACAGCACGGTACACCCGGCTTCATGTACTGGATCTATCATCGGATAATGCCCATGCTGAACTTTTCAAGACACGACTAAATGTATTTAATTATGTAGATAAAGATATGCTTCGAGAAGCGTTGATTGAATCATTGAGACAAATTGTATTTTGTCTGTTTGTTTGGCCAAATGGTCCTTGATAAAGGTCCATAAACGCCCTTGAAAGATATGCATTATGTTGACCACGTGTTTAGATTGTTTGCTAATCGGGTTTAAAGGTGAAGGACTTGAGATTCCTTCCGATAGGCTTGAGTAAAATGTTTACATATAAAACGCGCGGACATAATGTCAGTAAAGTATGAAAATAAACACCAACGCAATTATCTACAACAATAAATTCTATTGGGTCTAAATAGCCCAAATGGAGGTAAGACATTTATGAACGCACGTCCTGGAATACCTGTATAATTAGCCGCCACGCACACAATTCTATGAAATTTGCCTGAAGAACACGCTGCAAATCCTACCACCCTGTGCATCATTTTCCGGTTTACAAATTAACACAAACAAAACGCAAGTAATGAAAATAGGATCCCTGGAAATTCTAATTAAATCTTATGCAAAAATGGAAATTGAATTGGAATGAAACTGAATTAACTCTCCTTAGCATCATCTTCACGCATAATTTGGCAGAAATGGTGGACAGAAGCTACAAAGATAAATTAAAGGAGGTACGACTGTCGATGAAGAAATGGTCAGTACACCTGTAGGTAGAAATACTGTATTGAAAAGTCTTATACTACCTAAACTGAATCATTTATTTTCATCTCTCCCCAATCCAAACAAAACATTTATAATAGATTTAAATTCAGAATTCTTTAAATTTATTTGGCAAAATAGACCAGATAGGATAAGTAGAAAAACACTTAGCAAATCAGTCAAAACTGGGGGACTGAGAGTGCCAAGCGTAGAAAATGCAATCAAATCTCAAAAGATTACATGGATTACGAGGTTGTTCAAAAACGATTCAAAATTTAAAACATAATAACATTTAAACCGAAACATGAGTCTCATTAACCTATTCAGACAATGACTTACTTTTCAGCCGATCCGAATTTTCTCGTGGGAAAGTGAAAATAGACATCACAAACAACTATGGTTACACTAATTTCCAATTCCTTGTTTCATAAGAAAATGGTATTTACAACTGAATTTTAATTTTAAACTGTAAGAACATCGTATTTCTATATTTTATGGCAAGGTGTAGGCAGCATGACCTTAACTAAGACGTCACAGACTGCCCCAGTTTGATGAGGTCGTGAAATGATTCATAATGCATCTGGCTCACTGGTTATTCAGTGTAGTTCTGTAACGCACAATGTGATTGATATAATATCAAGTCCGTACCAGACCGCCAAACTTTTCTAGCGGCCGAGCCTCGTTTTGAGATTTCCACGATTTCCAGGTTTCTGTTTGTCAGAGCACGCTGTACGACAGAACACACTCAACGACGTGTCTGCAAGGATTAGAAGGAGCAATATACAAGTGCTAAGATGTATCGAATAATACTGATTAATATTTATGTATCCAGTTAAATGAATTGGTCTCACAATTCTCGACTGGTTATTGTACTAAATTCAACAACAGGACGGAACCCAGACAACAGTACACGAGACTGTTGTGTAGTCAATGTTTTCACTTGATAACTTATAATAGCATTTAAACAAATGTTTCAAAATGTGAACAATATATCAAGGAAAATGTGCTGACGAAGCAAACCAATGACTTTTGGACTGATGTTTTACTCTCATGGGGAAATTACCTCAATAGTAAAAGACAAAACATCAAGAATGAAGATGATATTCTCACACGACTCTGGCACAATGGCAACTTACGTATCGGCAACAAGCCGGTATACTATAGACACCATGAAAAGGCAGGAATACATTCTATACACGATTTGGTAGACGACAAAGGAATCATACAAACATCTGAACAGTTAAAAAAATATATATAACTGCAAAACAAACTTTTTAGAATATACCGGAATTTCAAAAACGATTAAAAAACATTGTATCTTAACAAATACCACACTACATATAATAAAATCCTGCACCCCTTTTATTCCTTACCTTTACAAGATCTATTAAACCCAAGCAGAGGATGCAGAATACTTAATGATACACTACAGGCAACTGGAATTCAAAATAATAGCAACAAATACAGAAAATGGGAATTGGGAGTTAACTGAATATCTGCATATCTGATAATGATTGGAAACATGTCCATAAAATACGTTTCAGGGCGCTTGTTAATATAAAATATCAATGGTTTCAATACAGTATTATCCACAGGTGTATCTCTAACTAAAGAAATGCTATCAAAAATGAAATTAATTGAAACCAATGCTTGTACGCTCTGTAAAATAAGCGTTAAAAACAATACACATGTTCTATGAATGTGATATTGTCAAAGAGCTTTGGAATAATGTTAATGCGTGGATTCAACATATAAACCTGAAGGCTGCTTCTCACTATATATTAGACATGGCTTTTTTCCCGGAATAACCGCATTTTAGGTTTTTGTTTGCTCCCAGGTTTTACTTTTCGTAAGTAAGACCTATTTCCCGGTTTTACTTTTTGTAAGTAAGACCTCTCCTCAGGTTTTACTTTTCCCCAACTCTATATTAACATCAACATTCAAATGCAGGTGATATGCTAGTGTTTGAAATCAATTGAAAATAACCTCGGAGTCGTGCTTTATCCTACACATAAAACGGGCACTCTTCTTCACTTTAATAAGAAAATGGTACTCTTTGGATACCCTGAGAAAAGAAATGATATGCTCAATTGGATCATAATTACCACAAAAAACAATATTTTCAAATCAAGATTAGCAAATAGACATACTAACATTTCACATTTCAAAAATGATGTCGACATTTCATATGATTTAGATAAATACTGTACAGCCCGAAGATAAATTGTAGTGTAGGGTCATTTCTACAAATTTGGTGTTCATGCCATATCCTGTTTTAGTGGAAGATGTTGTCTATTTAGTTTAGTTCATGTTTTCTGTACATCTAGAAGATCATTATCAAAATTCCGGGAAATGTCTGGAAATAGCGGACTATTCACTCCGTGTTGACTTTGTACGAACAAAAAAAAATTAAATAAGAAAACTCCAAACAATTCTATGAATACTCAATGCCATTCAGAAAGTGGTCACTTATGTTATATTTGGGATTACAACTTCTCAGTACCCCGTTCAGCCACCGCAATATCTGCAAAATAGGTGCCTCTCTCGGAAGGTGTGGGTTCGAATCCCAGATGGGACCCAATCCAAAAATAGTACTAGAATATGTACTTTACGAAGAAAGTTTAATCCCACATATAACATATCTTACACCCACACATTTGTACAAAGAAAGTTTGTTGCCTTGCTCTTCACAGCCGTAATCCTAAACAATCACAGCATACACATCAGTAGTTACATTCGAAGCAGCTCGGGGCGGTGGGGTAGCTTATTGGTTAAAGCGTCCGCTCGTCACGCCAAAGGCCCAGGATCGATTCCCCACATGGGTACACTGCGTGAAGCCCATTTCTGGTGACCGCCGCCGTGATATTGCTGGAATATTGCTAAAAGCGACGTAAAAACATACTCACTCACTCGCTCACTCGAAGCAGACTAAAAGGTATTAGTTCGTCACAACCCGAAAGGGGATCTCTTCTCAATACTAATCACGGGTGTGCCTGGCCAAGCGCACGCTATTGCAGCTCGGTCATACTCATTTACACAGGCGCAGCCTGCATGTCCCCTCCAATCTCTTCGTCCTCGTCTGAAAATGTCTCCTCATGGATAATCTGAGCCCAAGATGTGACACTTGGCTTGTTTCTAAATGCTCCTCCAAAGGATACAATGAAGCAAAAAGCTACAATCTGGCATGTTTATTCAAACGAATCCGATTCTAACATTAACTTCTATTGCATTCATATCTAGATAAACAAACCGTACATGTTAAAAATGCATGACAATTAACACATGTAATTTGTTGTATCGCTGTAAACTTGTCTTTCTTTTATTTATCTTAAATGACCTTGTCCTTTGTACTTGAACTTACATACATTCTGGACACAAAAGTTGTATTCCCTGGCATATGGTGGTTCATTTGTTTAGAAACTCGTGAAGATCCGGGTTAGAATTGATCTTCAAAAACTCATGCCTGTCGCTGACTTGGTTGACACGTGTCATCATTGCCCAGTTGCGTAGATCGATGCTCATGATGATGATCACTGGATTGTGTGGTCCAGACTCGTTTATTTACAGACCGCTGCCATATAGTTGGACTATTACTAAGTGCGACGTAAAATTAAACTCACTCACTCATTTGGTTAGACACATACTGAGCACGTTGGTGGTGTCAGATGAACATGTTGCTCCTGCATTGATCCTGTAGACAAGACTGAAATATTCCGATCCATTTTGTTCATCTTAATCATTATGATGTCGAGATTCTGAACAGCATAAAACAAGTCATCCCTACTTGTGTTCTTTTACGGAACTGAATTGTCTGGTCCAGACTCGATTATTTACAGACCGCCGCCATACAGCTGGAATATTGCTGAGTGCTCCGTAAAACTCAACTCACTCACTCACTCACTCTTATACGGAAATCCAGCTACTATGGCGATAAGTTACTGTGCAGATAAAAATTGCAAAGTACACATAATCATCGTCTCACTAGATTATACATGTACATGTAGGATGTAGACTAGATTATACATGTACATGTAGGATATAGACTAGATTATACATGTACATGTAGGATATAGACTAGATTATACATGTACATGTAGGATATAGACTAGATTATACATATACATGTAGGATGTAGACTAGATTATACATATACATGTAGGATGTAGACTAGATTATACATATACATGTAGGATATAGACTAGATTATACATATACATGTAGGATGTAGACTAGATTATACATATACATGTAGGATATAGACTAGATTATACATATACATATAGGATGTAGACTAGATTATACATATACATATAGGATGTAGACTAGATTATACATATACATGTAGGATATAGACTAGATTATACATATACGATGTAGA